ATTCTTGGGAGCATCGAACTCTTTCTCCTTTGTCAGTATATGAAATGTGCTTGTTGCAGTTGCAAAGTGATTCATTTAACACTACTAATAGCCAGTCCATAAGTTTTGTTGAAGTTGTAAGCAGTGGGTAGTGAGCGGCAAATCTCCAGAAGGGAGGACTAGGAAATAGTAGATTGATAGGCATCTCGTTCAAATAAGATAAATGAGACAATTTTGAAAGAATTCCGTGGAAGTGCTTCTCCTTCTTCATTCAAATTTTCTCCTTTTTCTCTTTCAACTTTGACGAAATTGCTTCTGAAGACACGATGGATAGGAGGCCGCACAGTAGGAATCATCTTCTAAAGAATGATTGATCAATGAGTGCCTTAGCACTATCACCTCAAAACTTACAATCAATCAATCAATCAATCAATCAATCAATCATTTCAGCCTTTCCTCCAAAACGCCTAACTTGGATACTACCCGTAGTTCTTCCTTAATTTTCCTTAACCCATTTACCACCTTATTTTATTATTTCAAAGTTATATCTTATGTATCATTTCTATTTGTTTATCAATCAATCATTTCGGCCTTTCCTCCAAAGCGGAATGAATGTGAAGTTTAACTTACTTATATGAAAATTGCTAGAAACACATAGGCTATCTGTCTAAAAGCTGCTATCTAAAAAATGGTTTCAATATTCTATGCATGAATTACATCACATAACATAAAAACACCAGCAGATTTCCAGATGTTGTCTGATTTATATCATATAACAACACTTTGCTGCAAATAGCAAGTTCAATAACTGGGATGATACAAGCGGGAGTAAAAAATAAGAAGAAATGTGCCGGAGTGGAAAAATTAGTAAAGTAAGCATTTTATGAATTATATGTGAAGAGACAGATGCCGTTTAATGCAGCCTTTGCTGTGATGAAAAATCAAAGAGTACCTTGTTTTTAAAATGGTTTCATAAAAGAATTTTACTTGACACTGATATACTTTTAACTGAATACTCATATTCAAACTATAACTAGAATCTAGAAATTTATTTAAGTTACCACTTTTTTTCTCAAATATATTATCGGACGTTATTGTTTTTATTTGTTTGTTTAACTATATTTAAAATGTAGTTCGTTAAATTTTAACTTCACTTTCATTGGATATTCTTAGCTATAATTTGCTATGATTTGTTCTGTAACCTACTTCTGGATTCATGTAACTGGCACGAAAATCAAGATACAAGAGATAGAGTATGTAAATTACAATACATGTTCAGAAGAGAGAACTGGAAAATAGCACATTGATAGATTAATAGATGTGTTGTTAATTAATCATGTAACTTCGAAAACGCAAGTTACACACTATAACACCGATTCTTAATTAAGTTTCATGGATAAAAAATACAAATACATCAGCCGACATAAACAAGTTTGAAACGTTCCTTCTGATAGAAGCCAAACATTTGAGAAAATACATTACAGTGCTTATTTACTCTTAATTATTATTTCGAAATCTTTACAACTTGATGAAATCACAAGTCAGCACTTTGAAGGATAGTATTGGGTTCTTTTTTTCCATCTTATTTGTATAATGAAATGTAGAATGTAACGGTTAAAATTCAATCAGTATATCCAGAAAAAAATAAGATGAAATAAAATTGGAGCAAAAGGAATAACGAAAATTGACATTTGTGTCTTTATTGATACCTTCCAATGATTTGATGAGTTTAGAATGTTTTAAGTCATTTTCTGATCATTTTAAGAACAGATGATTACTTCAAAATCATGAAGTGGTTATGTGCTTGTTTTTCAAGATAATGTATTCGCTACAGTGACGCAATAACTTATTTGCAGTATTTGTTTTAGTGAAACAATATGTCACATATAATTTGTATGCATATATCTAGGAATTAAACTCCTTTTTCATCATGCACAAATTCATTACTATTTCATATATAATTAGTGCAATTACAACTATTGTAATTGCATGTCACCCAGTCTTATTCATCAAAACCCTGTTGGATTCGATATAGAGTCGGGTGTGGAGTGGGTTTACGGCGAGATATCATGAATCGTTTGTGCACGACAGTACCTTTTGCACTTCTCATGAGCAAGGGTGGCGAATTTTCACGATCGCGACGCGTAGTTGGATTCTCTTTCTTCAAGCTACGACCACGTGGTGGTATATCAATTTTTGAAGCGTCATTCATAGCAATCGCATTGCACTGAAAAATGATTTTATTGTGTGATTTCTCACCTTGAGTTTTAGGAACAGCTTTCGAAACAATAAAATAGTGCTTAGCATCAGCAAAGTAAGCGATATGGAAATAGCGAAACATAGTTTTTATAATACGAAAAGGCACTTAATGGTGTTTTTACTTCTGTGTCGCGATGCCCTGCTTCATTATTTTTCTGCTCCTTAACTGGGCTAGCATCTCTCACAAGAAGGTTCTCGGAATCTTTTCCCGAGTTTCTTGTTTCCTCTTCGTTAGATGCAGGAATATTAATACAGACAGGGACGGAAATTTCTATTAAAAAATCTCCGCTTGAAGGATTTGAGTTGGGTGAATTCCGAGCATTCGAATTCTCTGTGGACATTTTTGAAGACAACACCACCACCACCACGGATAGCAATAATTGTACAATGACGCCTTGACGATAATTTCACATTATTTAGGCATTTTTGCTCTGTAGTATCATTAAATCTGCTATACTACAAATTATTCCTTGTATTCAGAAAGCGAGAAGTATAGTAGATTTAAGTACCGAAACAATTCGAATTAATTGTTTCGGTACTTTTTGAAATCAGTGTAAAAAACATCCATGAGATTAAATTTAGAAATCAGAATGAAATTGGAACTTTTTAAAATCGAATGGACGGTCTGACATAGTATCGAAAACTTCATTTCAGTGTTCCATTTCCTTGTACCCGTGTCCGTTAGAATTTTGAGAGTTCTCGGTGTAAACCCACTACAATACATGAAAATTGTGAAAGTAATGAAGGAAAACGACGTTATATTCCAATATAATTTGAAGATACTAGATGATGAGCGATCAACACTCAATACGCGAAAAATAATTTCGCAACACCTATATAACCCTGTTTAAGGCTTTTTTATTAATGATTGGTACAACTTCGATTAATTAAGCATTACAATTTACTGTCCACTAAAAATATTTGACCATTTCATCCTCCAGATACGCACAATATTTTTAATTTGCAACCACGACCATTAATCAAGTGAATTGTAGCTGTACTAACCCTGAAGGCATACAGTGCCAGCTTCGCTTTGAGCAAAGCCAAACCACCGGAAAGAATTCCGGTTTGCTAAATTTGAAAAATTGTCGAAAGTATTGTGTATAGAATATCAGGTAACTCTTTATGCTTCGCCGAACTGTCCCAATGCATCACTTCAACCGTCAATCGATCATCGTTATTGTACGAAAAGAAGATTAATGAGCCATTTTTTATCTCATCCATCAACATTTATTAAATGTTGATTTTAATGGCTTCAGAAAACGTATCTTCACCCTAACTTCCTCCCCCTCCCTTCCTCTTCTTCCTCCTCTCCCTTTTTCCGCTGCTATAGACAAATATTTCTCCAATGTCTCATCCCAAATGTTTTATTCCAAAAAAAGTTATCGTCTCCCCTTTAAATTCGTTTTATCTAAAAATTCTGCAATTTTCAAACCAGCGAAAACTTCATCCCTTTTGAAATGAAATAGATCAGACTCAGAAATTCCCTAAATAACCATTCCTTGTGCTGTTTTCCAAAGATTTTGTGAGGAGGCAATTTGCTTTTCCAGGTAATGAATTTTTTTTTTGATAAATTCAACTTTGTAAAATTCCATAGAGAATAAAAGAGAAATTCTACCTGAGGATAATAAACGTTAGAGACTGAAATTTTCGCAGAAATTAAAATGAACAGGTCATTTAATTTTCAGTGTCTTTTAATGAAGCCTTAAAACGGCATAGCAAATAAATAAATCATTATAGAACTTTATTGTGTGCGCAAATGAATTTTTTTATACATACAGAAAAATAATCTTTTTTTTCCCTTTTTTTTGTTTGCTTTAATAACTATTCAAAATTGGTGAAAGGAAACAAAGGAAAAGGAAAATGTTTCCCTTCAGAATTTTTTAATAACAAGTATGGTAGGAAGAAACACTGGTTCATTTGACCGTGAAAAGAAACAGTAAAAAGCTTATTAAAACTTCTAAGATTAACATGAATTTTTCGCATATTTTTTCTGTTGCCAGCTTACGAGATTGAAGGTGTAAGGGAGAAAAAACAGAAACAACTAATCTGACACAAAATTAAGAGGACGACTTTTAAAAATACCTTTTACTGGTATTCAGCAAATGTGTTTTTTTTTTTTTTTAGATCTAAGTGTAACTGTATCATTATATTTTACTTTGTGTATTAAGTTTTATTTAAAAAAAAGTTTCGCCGTAAGATTCTAGAAAATGTGAAATACAGGCTGCTAAAAAAGATAAAGCAAAAAACAACGAAATGTAAGGATAGATCTGAAACTTGCAAGAACCATGAATCTAAAGTCAAATACAATTCGCAAGCACGCAAATGAAGCATACCAAAAAAGGAAACACCGTACAAAATGAGTTAGTTAACACAGTTTGCTGAATAAATACCCGCAATAAATAACTGCTGAGAAATGGATACAGCTTATGGTCTTGATGATCGTTAATCAATAAGCGCTCCCTCCCAAGCACATAATAGCCGGTTCCCCGCTGAAATGGTACGGGTGGTTGAAACTTTTCGAGATTATATTCATGAATTTGCAAGATTTGTTTAAAAAATATATCACAGTTAAAACCTATCATTTTCAGATCTGACTTGGATACCTTATGGACTGAAGGATGATAACTGGAAAATTTGATGTGCAGAATATTTTCCACAGACTTTAACAAGCGAAGAAGACACTGTGTCATGACGTTCATCATTATCTCAATTGGTTACAGGACCAGCATAAAAGAACCTGCTAAAGATATAAATGAGTTCTAGGGATGGGGCATGGTAGCCATAAGACGTTGGGTATACATGGCCTGTAATGCAGCTGCTGAAGGAAAACCTGTCATCGTCGGAAATGGAGGTATTCCAAGTGGATTTGGTACAGCTGGCATCAAGCCACTTGGTTTCATGTACGGGTGATAACGAAGAGAAGCAGCCGCTGCAGCATGATTAATTAGCGACGCTGTGGTGTTTGAACGTGGTGAACTGCTCGTTTTTAAATCGTTGCTACTATTTGAACTTGTTGTTGATGGAGCATGAGCAGCCTGAAATTTTCGAATGTTCCACTGCTAGTAATTCATTGAATTCATGTTATCATTCTTCATCACTCCAAAAATCAGCCTTCTCAATGCTATTAATCTTATACAAGCCACTTTTATTTTGAAAATCCGAGATGAATGCATCAGATAGTGCACATTCGATAGAATACATACCTTCATATGCGCAGCAAGTTCGTCGGCGGTTGGAAACGATTTCCCACAAACACCATTTGGTGACTCGATCCAATTACACATGTGTTTGGTTGCTTGTCCAGAAGCTGCAGCCATCAGATTTTGATAAGCAATTTGAGCTGCCGAACTGCAAATTACAAGAATGGTGAATTTTTCTAATTTTTCATAATAAGAGACTGAAATTAATTCGAAGTTTTTGAGAGATTAAAACCTAAAAAGTTTGAGTAAAATTTCATCAGTTGATCAGCAAAAGTTAACGTTAAATATACTGTTAAATTGCGTTTTCAAGAAAATTTTTGGCAAGAATATAAACCAATTCTATAGTTCTTTCCCTGCTTCCTTTTTTGGATACTTATTTATCAAGATAACCATAATCCATAGTTTTGTTTTGAAGGAACATTTACCTTGATGTTGGTGGTAATGTTCCGGCTAAAAGTGGGCTATAAGCTGCAGCAAAAAAGGATGGTGGGAAAGTCATCATCAAATCGGCAGGTGTGGTACTAGCAGTAGCTGCGGCAGCAGCGCTATGTATCGTACAACTTGTACAACCTGGAGTTACGCATGGCCTTGTTATCATAGTTGCTGGACATCCTACAAATAGCTTAAATGATTCACAAATCACGATAAACGAAAAGTAAATTTGTTTTAATTTCAAACCGAGCGATTTAACTACAGTTCATTGATAAAATACCACTTATTTAAAAATCTGACTGCCCAATAAATGCTGGCCCATTTCTAGTTCAGATTTCCTCGACATTTTAGAATTCAAAAACGGACCTTTGCAAGTTAATGGATCTGGACACCGTAAGAATGGATTCGATGTTCCTCCTGGAAATGCTCCAGTAGCAGCAAAAGTGGGGACTGTAGGGAATCCAGGCATGAGAGATGGATAAGGAAAGGCCGGGAAGCTTGCCGCGAGAGGTGAAAAATTCATGGGAAAACAGCCTCGTGCACTAAGCATCAAATTTGCAGGTAACGAAGCAGCAGCACTAGTAGATGGCTCGGAACTTATCGGGGTCTTCTTGCCAACCGACGGACTATGTGCTATATGACGGGGACTTTTAGATCCTTCCTTTTTATTTTTTGTCGTGGAGCTAGGTTCCTCCTTTTTCGTTTCACCCGATATACTGCTACTCGGACTGATACGATCCCTAGATTTATCACCATCTTTATTGGATTTCCGACTCGATGTGTCAGGAAGACCAATTGTTTCGCAAGTCTTTGCAAGCATAGCAAGAGGTGATTTACCAGAATCCATCTGCAAATATGAATGCTACATATTTCTCGACTTCATAAGGTTCAAAATATGTCAAATCTAAATATGAATTTTCAATTATAGAGTTGAGAAATGAACGCGCAGCATTTGAACATCTCAGAGCCTGGTTTCAAAAAAGATTAAATATAAATATTTGTACTTTGATGGCACGTAAAATTACTTGAGTGATTCACCGAATAAAGAGATGTAAAGATGTAATGAAATAGATTCGAAATAATAATATATGAACAGTGAAACGAACAACTACACATTTTTCATACAAGCTTTTTGTGATCAAGCAATTCATCAATTAACATTCGACCAGATTTTTGATTGTGAATTAAAAAGGGAATAATTTCGAGAAACAAGTGGATCTCTAAAAACTGGGAAGAATGTGAGTCTCATATTATGCATGAATAATCCGGATTCCGAGTCATGGATTTCTTCTCGTGCAACAAATAGTAGTCTTTTCCCATTATAGGAAATTATAGCTACTTAAAAAAGATAACCAAGAAGGGAACAGAGTACATCTCATAAGCAATAAAATGAAACGAAGAATTCAAAAATTTTGTTTCTGCCGTCGAAGTTCACCCAATCAAAGTGCGATAACTACCACTTTGATGTTTCAACAGTGAGGGAAACATACGCTCATCCCAGACTACTTTTACTGAATTATTTCTGTCCCAACATGAGAAGTACTCTTTGCTATCCTGTTTTATTTGCTGTTTCATCTATCATGCCGTCCACATCAATTTTCAGCCGAACATCTGAAGTTTGTAAATCAGCTTCCAAGTCTGTGTTCAAAAGAAATAGCTGGTTCCACCGAGACTTCGTATATTCTTCTTCCTTCCCTTAACCAACCCTAATCACTCCTAATATATAATTTCAAACCCAATAATTTGAAAACAGTATGTAAAATCTAATTTCTTTCCAAAAATATCCTCCTCTTCACTTCCCTTTTCTTTCTATGTTTGTTATTACACTTGCAAATCTTTGGAATTGCACGACTTCAGTTTCAAATTAATACTACTAAAATAAAAAGTAGAGCATGGAAAGTTCTTTAAAAAAAATATATTTCCGAAAGCAATACATTTCCTGCAGTATGATTTCATCATTTTTAACAACATGTAACAGTGATAAGGAATTATACAGCCTGCGGATATCATATTTTGAAATGGGTGCCTTTGAATTTATTGATCTTCAATTAATTAAAATTAAAACAAATAAACAAACATATATAAACAAATGGCACATACAACAAGTAAGGTTAAGAAAGGGTCAATTTTATCGTGCTTTTCTAAGAATTCATGAGTGATAAATGAATGTTTGATGGTTGCAGGAAGCGAAACAAAACTGACAGTTTGACCAAAATTTAAAATGATAGAAGAGTGCGAAGAGTAAGAGAGATGGAGGGGAAGAGAAATTCAAAGGAATGTGCAGGGAAGAAATGAAAAGGTAATTTGAAATGATAACAGAGATGAAAAATGCCAAGTCATTCTTCATATCATTCAAACCGGCACTTATCAATTAAAAACTGGAAGCAAGAAAAAAATTGGAAGAGAAGAGGAGCGCTTAGCCATGGCCGGCATAGCAACAGAGAAATTGTAATTTTCGATCAACCTATTCTTTCGACCTCGTTCCAGTACAAAGCTCAGAAGATTCTCGAAAACGAGCCAGGATGGAAAAAAATTCCTTGAGAGTGATCTCTTCCGGAGCAGCGAGCCAACACAGGAAAACAGCAGCAGCTGTAGCAGTAATGCTGCACAATAACTCACTATGTTGCTTCACTGGTTCACTCATTCAAGAATTCGTGCATATTTCATTAAAAGGCATATAAATTTGCTAATACCTGCGTATCACTTACTAGTAACAGAAAAACAGGTAAACAACACATCCAAAAATGATTTGTTAAGTCTTTCTAACTTACAGCCATTGCATTTCTGCATTTTCATGCAATTTAATAGCCAATATCAATCTCCCTCATTTTTATAATTTGAATACTAACATGTCTCAATACCATACTATTTTTGGAATATTTATTTCAGAATCATCAAGAATTACTAAAATACTTGCTCCCAAGGCTGACAGTTAAACAGTAAAGCTACTGCTAACCATGGTATAACCAATCAGACAGTGAAAACATCCCGTAATATTTAATACTCTCACCTACCAAGAAGCATCAATGAAAAACTTGGATAGATAACTAGAGAGCATTAAATGCTTAGGAAAAGGGCTAAGTGAAAGTTGAACCTACTCCTTTCGAAACACAAAAAGATAATCCGTCTTACTGTCTAACTTTGCCATAAACCTGCAGGAAAAACCTCTACATTTAAACCACATGTTATTAATGCGCAAGATGTCAAAACATCTGGTAGCCTGACACTCTCTTGATAAAAAAGTCCACGATAAGGTGAGTTCCTAGAAAACATACATGTGACAGCGTACACAACTGTGACATGAAAACAGACCGACAAACATACACCAGACATATGCGCATTACATGTACATTGAGATGCCCCGACAAACGGAAAATGTAGATCAGCGACGAGATTAGTTTAATAACATATGACAGCTATCATCTATCCATTTGCCTGCCAGTCCATCTCCCTTATCCGAAACTGCACCTAATAAATAGGTAATTTTCCACAAATGCTCAGAAAAATCTAAGCTCTCATGAACTTTCATCTCTGCTGTTCTTCACTTCTTCCCATCCTAATCACTGTATTTTATGCAAATAAAATTTATTTCCAAATTTACTGCAATAACACGAGGTCTCTTCGTAATATTTTAAAGGACTTCATGAAATTTAAAAATTTTTAATTTAGATGTATACAATTCAGTGAGAAGATATAGTTCCTAAAAACAGAAGAACAAGTTGTATGAGTGATGACTTGAGGTAAGAATACATAGAAATAAGAACAAAAATGTTTAAAACAAGCTGCGCATGATAAAATAATGTCAACGTTAAATGGAAATGGAATGCTTTAGAAACACAGAAAGATGACGAAACCACGATGTGCAACACTTCATTGACCTAATTTAAAATAGTCATCAATGAACTGAACGAACTATTCATGCATTAATGCAATAACAAATTTCACTCTATGTAAATATGGTTATGAAATAAAAAACTAACCGTCGACATAACAGGTGAATTATAGTCGGTTAGGTATTGTGAATGTGTTGAAACCATCCTTGTATAGTACTTGGACGTTTTTTTCTAAATGCAAGGCAAAACTGCCGCACAATGAGTGGCAGATATACAGATAATACAACAGGAGAATTTTGTTAGGAAATAGCTTGTAAACTGGATAACGAATAATCTGAAGGATGGCGAAACCTTATATATAATATCTATATATCTGATCTATAGATAGATGTATAACACTGCATGATAAAGAAAAACGCGGACGCGGACAGGTTGAAGGACACAGACAGCCAGCAGAGCAAACCGCTTCGGGCACCTGCTACAAATAAGAACTGTGTTGTATGAGTGGGGGCGAGATCAAGGCGGACCCACCCAGCTGAAACCCGTCGTCAGCGAGAACTTCAAAGACTGATGCCGCGCAGTGGCGCTGTAAGTTGAAGAGGGAGGAAAGGAAGGCGTGCTATGAAGTATACCCGTTATCTTCCCCTTCCACCTCATTCTACCACCCCACCAATGAACGCACCGTATGGGAGGTGCTTCTGCACCACCCATTCACAGAAATTTGCATTGCTTTCATGCTAGTGCCGATGTCGACGCTGACGCTGGCACTGGTGATGCTGCTGCTGTTGCTTAACAGTTAACAGGAACTGCTACTGCTTGCCATGCCAATCATTTAGGTCACTATTCTCTAAGCAATCCATTATCCGATCATTCTACACATTTATCATCATCATCATCCCATAATAAACAGCAGTGCTACAAAATGTTACACTTTTCAGCAACAGTACAACAAGTTACGGTAATTGATTTCAAGTACATAATTTGAGGAGAATCGAGAAGGTATCATCGAAAATCAAGTTCTTCTGCAATTTCGTGGACAAATTATCGATGAATTTCAAAGCTGAAGATTAAGTAGAACAGAACCCTAAAATAACTACTAAATTTACTGAAAACATAACTAATAGGCTAAGAAATTCCAGAAAAGTGAAACAGTAAAGAAGAATAAGATATTTGAAGTGATGCAATGCAATAATATATTGTATAAAGTTGAAAGGGAAACACTGTTTTATGATAGTAACATTAACGACCTATTATTTGGCAAATTTATACTTGTTGTCTTTGACAGCAATCGGTTGACAACCAGACTTGTTTGCCTATCGGCCTTTTTGGCAACTTGTCTGTCCGCCAGTTCTCATATCAGTTTTTTCAAAAGAAAAAAAATATACAACCAATAAATTATTCATCACTAGAATAGATCTCGTGTAGAGTAAATACTTACCAATAACCTTCCTATATGTATAAGTAATTTTTATAAGCAGTGTTTTCTTTTTTAGGCTTATAACAATCTTTTTGGCTTGAAGACAAAGACTGAATAAATCGAAATAGCATTTTTATTTTGGGAATTTATGTCGCCACTGATTATATATTATATATATACGCATTATACACTAATTTATGCCATAGGAAGTGTAACCCTTAGCATTTAAGTATTGGAGCAACTCAGCAATCTGTTGCATACGATAAACAATTTAAAAGAGTAATTGAACAAGTAGTGTAAATTAGTCCTAGACCTATTCGATTTAATAATGCAAAAAAGATTGAAATGAAACACCGAATGTGTTTAAAAATGAGCCATGTGCATTCATGTTATTCCGTCAGCCAGCAAAATAATTCCTTTTTTTCTCACCTGTTATTGCTTCTGCTTTACTAACGAAGCTATGTCTTTTTATCATTTCTCTTCTCCGCAAAATTTGGACTTTTTTCGCAATATTTTCTCATTTTGCTTGTTTGCTTTTTGCAGTTTTTCATTAAAAGAAAGGTCTCATTAGTTCATATGATTACATTCAACTAGCTTCCTAAAACTGATTGAAACTAAATTTGGCAAGAGATTTCTGGACTCTCATTACAAGCCAAGGACCAATACTGATCAATCAATACTTTTAAACATTCAGAAATAGAGCATTCTCATCACTTCTCTCATAGAGGTTATCTCACGATATCAAAACCTATTCCCTCACTATGTAAAATTCTAAGGCAAAAAATGTATGATTACATTCAAAGCTTAAATGTCTCAATAGTTTTATGCCAGTGAAGACGCACCTTCATTTTCCTCTCATCTCCACACTACTTTTTAACAGCGAGGACAAGAAAATGATAATATGTTGAGAGTCCAGAAAATGATAATATGAAATGATAAATAGCTTTGTCATGGACAGAGTTTATTAATCTGAAGCAAAGTCTTGACATGAGAAAATTATTGTAACTGCAGCATGGTGTCAGATAAAAGAAGAAAAGCCGATCAAATGCAACTGTTTAATAGTAAACTGGTACTCGACGTGCGACATATCTCAATATGGGAGATTGATAACGAAATAAATTCAAACCGGTTGAAGTAAATAATCAACAAATGAAAAAACAGATCTTTCAATTTGATGAATAAAATCAAAAAATTTTCAAGAACTCACTAATTTAAAAATAAGCTGATGTCCACTCAAACTTTCCATTTAATCTTCAATAATGTAAAGCTGAAATTTCAGAAATGGAGTAAAATATACATAATGATAGCAGTATGAGAAATGACTCTTCGAAATCACAGCAAAGAAACAAAATGTTGTGATAGTGCTGGAGTAGATTCAGGATCAATGTACATGCAACAAATGAATGCATATTGGCGGGTATGTGCAGGAGAGAAGAGGAGGGTCTATATAATAATTAAAAGGATGGAGGAGGGATGTTTAGATGAAGTGAAGGGGTGACATAAACGCAATGACAAGTGATATATATAAGTCTTTTGACAGGGTCCCATCTGAACCAATCACTCGCACATCAAACCCGAATTCTCAAAGATGAAAAAGAGAAAAACCCTTAAGAAGGAGCCGACACAAATCATCATTATGTTGTACTATGATGAGACAGAGAGGAGAAGAGGTGCGGGGGATTAGATCATATCCACATTATATACACATCTGTGTCACCTCACCAAATACGTATACCACCCCTCATTCCGATTTTATAGTTTCCACTCCTATTTACCGCACTTTTAAATCAAAACCAATTCATTCCCAAAGTTTATGCAAAAGACAAATTCCCTATTGTTAGAATTTGTTAAAGTTTTAGTTAACTTTTTGCCATTCCCGGATCTTCAAGTTCGAATCAAATTATAAATCGATCTTTCGTATCTCTTGAATAAATGGATTATTGAAAGAACCTTCTCATTCCAGTAACTAAACTGTTTTATGATTTTTTTTTTTTTGTTACTTTTGTTCTGTAACTATCAGGGAAATTAATAGAATTATTCAATCTGAATTCATTGCATTTATTCATTTATTTCCTTCGTCTCATTTTGAAAATGAACATTGGTTGTACTCAGATTTGTGCTATGATTTAAGAAAATCTGTATAAAAGCTAATACCACTGTTTAATTTACATTGCGACATTACACTGCGACAAGAAACATCGTGAAGCTAATATAATTCAGTGTTTTTCGTTCACATGAGAGAAGGCTATTTGTATTATCTTGGGGCAGTTAAAAGACAAGTGACGGAGAGATGCGCGGGAGAAGGCGGTAAGGAAGAGGGGAGGGGTGTGAACGCGAAGGGTAATATGCGTGGGGAGGCTTGAGCGGTAGAAAGATAAGGCACTTTTGATCAATTGGAGGATAAAAGGAGGAGAAGGAGCAGTACATTCCAAAATCCATATTTCGATGAAGCTAAATTGCTTGGAGGACTTCTGGATCTGGTCTGATTCAGGGACTTCAGGGGAAAGAAGTATGAAATAATGCATTGGGTTTCTGGATTTTGGAGTTTGAATGATGAAGAGGTTTAAAATGAAAAAGTAGATAAATCTCATCTATTATGAAAGCCGAAACAATACTGAGAGAGACATAAGACAAGACAAAGCAGTTGGTATGATTGATTCGAAGAGAGCATTTGATTGAGAGCTGTTCATTTTTCAAAAACAAGAGCTCTCAGGGAAAGAAAAAATGATAAACGGACGTCAACCCCTCCCCTTTTCACGGGCAAAAATATATTGGGTTGGAAGGGAGAAGGAAGATTGACGCTGTTGCTTGCTGGAAGTTGTTTGTAAGCGGACAGAATGGAACCATTCATCAAGCGCATCCTGAATTATTGCTTTTTCCCTTTGTACCACATCTTTGCCTTTAACCTCCTCCCACTTCCCCAAGCAATCTTCCCATCTCCCTTTGGAAACTATTAATTGTCAAGTTATCTCAACTTACATGAAGGTCGAACAAATTTAAATTGCTTGACAGTAGAATAGTTTTGGCTATATGCTGAATAGAAATAGAAGTCCAACAAATTTCGAAGCAAAATGAAACCCCAAAAGCATGCCTACGCTATCATTTCCTACGAACTCATTTTTTAAGAAAAGTATTTCTGTGCAAATCATGTTTCTTCATAGATATGAAGATTTGTGATTCCCTAATTTTTCCATCATGAAACTCAACCTGAATTATATATATATAATATATATATCGAATTATTCACATCACCTTTATATTCTAATTGACAATATATTTCGCAATATATTATCTAACTTTTGCACAGCAATGATTGAAATGTCATTCTCTGGATAATATTAGCACTACAGGTCCATATAAAAATGAATTTTTAAAGAAGAACTACATTAACCTACTTAATTTAAATTTATTTAAAAGCTAATAAGCTTACAAAGTTAAGTTGAGATGTCAAAAAAGATATAATGCAAACACAAAGAGATTGGAAAGTATGGATAAGGTAAAAACACCTTTCCTCGACGATGTATGGTTAATAGAGTGTTATTTGGGAAGTAATCGAAGAATTCACATCTATAATTTTCACCTCATGGCATTTTGACCGTATATCATCTATCAAACGGGATAATGTCTTAATGTGACATGAGTGGCGGATTACAGGATAATGCCGACCACTTGCTCAATTAACAAATAGGAGGTCACATCTGCTGATGAGAAAATTTGCAAACTTGTACCATTGATTATTTGAAAGCTACAATAGTTTAGCTTAAATATTTTTTTTTTCAAATTTTTTTTATTCAGCTGAAATATGGCAAATTTCTTAGCCGCAAAATCATGACTGTTTCTGGCTGAATCCTTCTCTCTTGGATGTTACTACAATCAGAGGGTTTTAAAATTAAACACCAATAGACAATTATAACTTTTGTTAAAGCCTTCTACAAAAAAATAAATCTAAATCACTTTTTTAAATAGCTTAACAAACAAAAAACATACTGTATTTAAAAAATTTGAGTATGGGGTCATATGACTACTATAAAAGCTATAATCAGTTGAAAAATTCCAAAGTTAGATCAGAAGAAGCTAAAATTATATTCGAATTTACCAGTAACAATTAAGGCAGTATTACGATATGATGAATTTTATAGAATTTTTGAAAAATATTTTCCGGGATAAATTTCACCCTTTGGAAAAAGCGGAGGAAGACTAGATAAAAGTACTTGCAAGTGTAAGACAGTTACTTATTACTGTTTCGCTTTTATTATCTGAAATTTTATTGAAGATTTGTTTGCTGATGAAAGTTATCAAACAATTTAAAGGAGCTTCTTATAAAGAATGTTTTAAATATATGGACTGTTTTAAATGTTTTAAATATATGCTTTGGACGAAATTTCATATATTTCGCTTATTAGTGGTCGTGTATTATATCTGCAGGCTTGTATGTCAGCTTTGCAAGTATATCAAACAGATCTATCTGCCCACTGTGGTAAAGTTCAAGTGAAAGGGGTAGCATTGTTTCAAGGAGTAGCAAGATCAAGTCTGTATTCAAGGATGGCTTTTTCTTTCTGTAGATTCATTACTCTTTCTTCATACGCTATTATATCTTCTTCATTCCAATGAAACTCATCTAACCCATCGTATGCTAGCTTTATTATTAGTACTTTTTTGGCAACCTTTTTTAGATCTGTTTCAGTGGTATCCTCTGCATTGTAAGCAATGCTTTGACGGTTGCTGATTCTATTATTGTTCCTCTTCAGTGTGAATTTTTGCTTTGGAGAGGCTAAGTCATTAGTTAAAACTGTAGAGCTATATAAATACTCCACTATTTTATATTATGGCACACTATAATTAAACATTTATTAATAATATGCTCACTTATATATACGAATTAATTGATAAAAGCCAAGGATCAATATCCATCAGTGATTTCATCATGAATGCTGCTCTATACCATAAAGAATATGGCTATTACATGAATAAATTACCGCTTGGCAGTGGTGGCGATTTTATCACAGCACCTGAAATTAGTCAATTGTTTGGTGAAATAATTGCAGTTTGGCTAATGTACACATGGAAAAAATTGGGAAAGCCATCAAAATTTTCTCTAGTTGAACTTGGGCCAGGTAGAGGAACACTACGGTGTTTTTGCACATATTATCCCCAATAAACATGGGAATGCTATAGTTGGAAATATGAGTACTGATAGCTCTACTGCTGGCAAAGCTATATTAGCAGTAAAAGATACATTGAGCAGAATAAAAAGGGAAGGAATTGATGAACAATTGTTCAAGGATGCAAAAACCATTTTAGTAAATAACCTTACCTTTTTTCTATCTAATAACACAAATACAGCAATGCCATTAGATGATACGCAGATAAATGATCGTGACGTTAACCGCATAATTAAATAATTAATAATTTTATAACATGAAGACTAAATTAGCATATCTGAGATCATTAATTTGCAATACGTTTTAAAATACGATATTGACAGTGATGCAGCTAAGCAATATACAAAATGTCGTGGCATTTTACATGTTGTATAAAAATTTTGCATGTTATAAAAAAGTTATTTAAAAACTTTATGTACATGTTTCACAGCTCAAAGAAAAATTTAATGAAATGTTGAATTTGATCATTTTATAGAAGACTCCTTCGAAATCCCATTTACTCGCTTTAATATCATTGGAATTTAAACACAATTCAGAAATATAGAGGCAAACATTTTTATAAGAAAATTAGTACGCTTAAGAGGACGTTATTGCATTTCAATAGATTACAACAGGAATAATTAAATGGAATGGTTCAATGGCCAATAATATTTTGGAAACGGAAGACAAGCTCTGTTTTGCTTGAAGTCATGCTGTTACTAAGATAAGAATAAGGAATAGCCACTTCGTTTTGGTATTTTTAATTGCAAAATGTTGCTAGGAAAAAAAAGATCATTATTCCTTTATTAAGAACCGAGTCGTAGACAATTAGTAGACACCTGATTAAAAAAGCGACACAAGCCATTTTTAGCTCGCTCAAATATAACTAATTGACAAAAAGGCACCATGATTATGGAATTTCCTTTCCATTATAAAAACTTTTCAAGAAGTAAAATTTTAAGATAGTTTATTTCACTTTCCCAAAAATCTGAATCTGGTGCCGACTTAATGTAACTAAATGGTGCATTAATAGGGATGTGAATGAGTTGAAAAAGTTTACTTGTAAAAGTAACACATATGGTATATGCAATGAAAAAGGCAAAGCAACTATTTTATGAATGCAATTATAATGATAACGAGTCTCATCGATCATCATCAAAATGATCATGATAAGCATTGGTCATCATTAATCATATGCAAATACATTTTCTTGCACTACGTCTCTTTTTTAATGTCCTCAAGATGCTCAATTCTTCTTCACTCCTGTTCCTCCCTCTTATATGTATTGCATCCTTATTTCATTACTATCAAACTTTGCTCTCTCTCTCATAACAATTTCGACCATTATTAATATAATATATACACACTGTAATATGAATCGCATTCACATAAATATAGAACCTTTCAGTTTTATGTTTCTCAGCAATTTGTTCACTTTTATTTTCCCATCAAACAATTTTTTCCTTCTGATGTAAATGACTTTATAATGACCTTTTTGAATTATATCAATTTGTCATTCCAGCTGACTAAGGCATGGATAGCGGTGCTTTTTTTTTCGAGGTTCTGAGAATTCTTGAACACAATTGGAAGATATGTGTGAAACAATCGTATGGAATTGTGCGAGAAATAGAAGTGACAGTTGTGAGATGAAAAAGTTATTTCTGGAGTGATAAAATTGATAACCAAACAGACTGTTCAGAAAATATTGAAATACATTTGTCTTCCATTATTCCAAACAAACTAACGAAAACGCTGGATATTTAATAAGTGGTCACAAATTTCGCAGTCACCGGCGTCTAGTGCTGTTTCAGACATATTCTGGCATATTTCGAAAAGTTTGCCTTTCCGAAATATATATGAAAATTTCAAAAACTGTAGATCATTTATTTTTGGAAATAAACAGTGTAGAGAAATAGAATGGGAGAAGCGGTGCAAGAAAAAAGTAAAGATCATTGAATTGACAACTGTCATCCGGATCAGTAACTAACACAAAGTTCAAGAATGATGCATGCTACAAGTCGTAAAGACGAGTAGATAATGTTGCACAATGGCGGACATCGCAGATGGAAGAAAATGAGTGATTATAGTGATGTGGGGTGGCGATGATAAATGTGTTATTTGCAAATGATTGGCAGGGATTAATTCAGGGAAATGTAATGAAGGACTGAGATAGAAACGGCTAAGCATAGTGCTATTATGATGGCTAAGCCGACCAGCGGTTCTTCCAAAAACATCGGACTTGTAAGGCGATTAGCTATTCCGGATAAACTGATGTCTGCGCTGTTTCAAAAAGGATAATTTAAACTGTCGCGGAAATGTAAAATGAAAGGGCAGAAAAAGGAGAAGAGAGTAATTCAGAACTTGAACTTCAGCAACTCTTTACTACTTATTTGGTTATTTAGAATCAAAAAAGGTAACAAATTTTTTTCTATTAAGTCTCAAAATCTTGCAGAGGTACTTATGGTGGATCGTTTTGAATTAAGAAAGTAGAAAATGTGAGATGCTTTTTTTATTAAAAAGTTTTTGATGAAAAACAATTTAATGTAATAATTCTTATGGACGATGTATTATGCCTCACGCTGCTGATAAAATATATTACATAAACCTTCATTAAATACTATATTTTATTTCTTGGATGCTGATTTATTCCTTACTAAAAAATGTTTAAAGAACTGAAAAGAAGCTATAATATGAATTTAGAGACGGCTAGGGATGCCATCAATCGGAATTTGAAAGCAAAGCCTCAGTCTTAACTTATCTACTTGGGAATACTGCCTAAGGAACAAGACATTCAGTATTTTGATTTAAATAGTTTAATCATCCTCATTTTAATTATCCATGAAAGAACAAAAGATTAATTAATACAATAGCATAATCAAGAAGAATGGTAAATGTAAAATAATCTTTCTTAAAAGAAATTTGATCTATATCAAGTTTTTCAATCCTAACCAAATTTGCACAAAATTAGACTAAACGTTCACCTTAGAATACTAAGCAAAGGTATACGCTGATGCAAAGAATGCAAAGAACTTGAAGAAGGAATGCTTGAGCACGTTGTTTAGAGCAATTCTCTTAGATAGAAAAACACAAAAGTAGAGAGGATAAGAATAATCCATACTAGCACTTCTTGTTATCGTCAGGCTGATTTCATATCGAAAGAGGTTCCTTAATTTCTATTCGGCTTCAAAGAGCTTTTCAACACTTTTTACCATTCCTTTCAATAGCTTCTTATCATAAGTACCATAAATAGATATTTGATTGCATCACTTTTTGAATACACGATAATAGATAATTAAATTTTCTGGGCTGAGCTTTAAGTTACAAGAAACCAGGCACGCTATTCAATGATATTGCGTCATTGCTTATAGACCCTGGCGTATTTAATGCTTTCAATAAAATTGATATTATAGCATTTTGTTCTTTAAATTAGCTTGAATATATATGAATTCTAAGAATTCAAATCTATTAAGCTGATGAAATTTTATTTAAAATCGAGAAAATCAAAAGTGAAAAAAGGGAAGATGGACAAGAATGCACTAATATCAAGTATGCTATTAACTAATATCAAGATGCAAGTATGTTATTAACTCAGAAATTTTATTCGCAGAAATAGAATTTAAATTCTCAAAAACTGGTATGTTTTGGAAATGTAGATTTTAAAAATCGGATTCTGTTAATTAAGTATTGATTACATTCTGCTGTTACACTGTTTGCATTCTTATGTGTTCAAAAATTCGGCATAGACTTTCTATAAAAGGAAAAAGAAAAAATTTATTGCCGGAAAAGGATATAGAAAGGAAAATTGGCAAAAGAGAAGACTGACGTCCAATATAAATGAAAGTAGTCAAGTTTACTAATTGTCCTATACAAATTCAAGTTTTCACGTACTAAGAATAAGGTCATTCTCCAATCAACAGGAGGAAACAAAAATGGGCAATGAAGAAAAAATGGGGAAGTGCTAATCAGAAAACATGATCAATATTTGTAGCAAATATCTTTCGATAAACTTCCGCGAACTTTCATTACCGCGCATTAGAAATTTCACAAAATTTCCAACAGAATTATTGTTTTCATGAAATCTTCTAATTTCAAACTCATTTCGTAATTTTTGAGTAATTAGCATTCAAAATCGCTTTAATGCCTAGTTGAATTAGAAATTATTAAGTAAAAGTGAATGTTCAAGTTCAAAAAAAAATCTTATATATAATACTGTTTTGCTATTCAGACATGTGTTGCCAGAAGTGGCAGTAGAAATGCACGTATTTTGGTCGTTAACGTGAGTCTGCAGACGGAATTTTTTTTTTCAAAAACTATGCTAGGCACCTTCTTGGATTCGATGAATGAAGTCTGTGTATTGCGTGCCACGGGAAGTTTGTAAGAAAAATGGTTTTAAATGAAGAAGAAACAAATATGAACTGGTCGATTTGATAAGAGGTATTCATTACTTCATCATCGTAAGTATCAATGAGCAGTGCAGGTAAAAGAGGATAGAGAGAAGAACAAGAGTATGGAGAACGGGGTCATAAAGTTCGAAGATATATCTTGCATTTTGCTGCCAACTAATTCAACGGCAGAGGCATTTATGACGAGGGAGACCATTCTCGTAAGCGTAGCGGCCGCTCTTTGATATTACATCAACAAAAAACGCTCGTAAATTGTCCCATCAAAACTCTTTTTTTAACGTTAATGTTTCTTTTTATGAGATGTGAGATTATGGTATTTTGTGGACTCTTTCGTTCCTTCTCACCACCACTCTTTCAATTATACTTATTGCTCTATCTTTTTTGGCCATCTTTGTACACAGAAATATGTGCATTCATTTATCAGTTCAGAAGTAGAGGAAAGTTGAATACAGATGAAACCGAAAATGCACATAAGAATTGAAATGATGAAATGAATCTTCAATCAATAACATTAAGGATGTACCATACGGAACTGTAGGGGAAGTTAAATGGTTAAGTAATGAAGAAGAATATTTTCAAACCGAGGCAAACCATTATATCAAAGAATGGACATTGGCACGAAGCTGCGCATCATTTTACTGAAAATTTATTAAGTCATTTCCCTGTTCGGTGCTACAAATGCTAAATTATAAAGATTTAAGTATGAAATTGCATAATCTTTTTATATTAAGAGTTTTTTCAGATGGAGACCCACAAATTAATGTACTTTATAATCAGTTTACTCCATTTATGTAATAATGAAAGCATTTAGTCTGTATCTTACTAAAAAATTATTCCCTAACTTTATCAAACTAACTAGGTTTGGATTGTTTTTTCTATTAACCCGTAAAACATTTTCAAATCCCTATGTAACAACTTTTTTGACAACTGTTTTTGATTCCAGTTATACCGGTAAATTAGATTCATTCAAACTGGGGACCATTTTCTGTTGGTCATTTGGCGATAAATTTTATTTCAATTTGAAAACATATGGAAAGTTATTTTGAAATCAAAATTAATGCATGGCAACGTGTTATGAATTATGATAAAGATTAGTTTTCAAGCAAAACCAAAAAATCTCTCGGAAGTTTGCTTTTGAAAGAAAGGTCAAAAAATAGTTACTATAAAACTTAATTTTCAAACTAGTGAAATTGAAACTTCTTATTTATGTCATAGCCATTCATGCTTTATAATAGCTGCACAATCTCTGTAAAGTGTTGTTACTTTGTTTTATATTCAGGATTTACCTGAAAGGAAAATGATAGCACATCTGCATGAGACGAGCGAGTTAATTAAAAGGAATGAATGAGAGGCGCTGGTTTTAGAGAGTGACTTGTTGCTTCTGATTTAAACTCTTTGACAGTGATTGGCATCTTGTCAATGGAAAGTTATGCACATGAACAAATAAAAGATGCTCTCACTTCGAGGATGTTATTCAGGAAGTAAGCATAGACTAATAGCAGTTACTGAGACAGCGAGAGATTTTGAAAAATTCATAACAACTGTATCCAATTAATGCTCTTTCCTTTTTGTTCTATAAACTGACCTTTCCTACAAAAACTTTTGATTTCCAGTGAGAAAAGTTATGGATTGCTAAAATAAAACATGTGCATAAATCACTGCCAGTTACTACTTACCGATTGCACATAAATTCCCCAAGTTATATTGTTTACAATACGATTTCCTACAAGTCAGTTTAGAGATATTGTCTTATATTACTTGCTACAAAAAAAAAAAAAAAAAAAGAAAAAAATTTGCAAAGCTTTTAGAAACTTTAATAAAAACACTAATCAAAATAATTATGTAGCTTTTACTAAGAGGTTTTGTAGGAAGAAATTATTGCGCATGTAAAGTAAAAATGAAACATTATCTTAAGCAAGAATAGCACTAATAGAAAATGTAGAAAATCCCATTCATTAGAAACCACCTATTCATTCTTTTAAAAGAGAATGGCTGTTGCATTTGTTACGCCATATATTGTATGTATTACATTACTATATGTATAATTTTTTGGGATCTTTAAGAATTCAGCACTATTTTTTTCACCAACCCTGTTAAAGCACTTGATAAGCATTTAGCAACTTTTTTGCACCTAGAGTAATGTTGTGTAAAATCAATAAAGCAGTTCGTGGAGTAACAGTAAAATGTTTTACATTGTAACTACAGCAGACCAATAGTTTGGCATTACTGTAGTCATAGCAAGGAAAAGGATTTATGTAATTATTTTGCGAGGAAGACGAAAGGAACAGGAGTGAGACTGGGAAGATTGAATTTATCAGTTCAGTCGTAAATTAGCGACCCGATGATCAATTTTAGATTAAATAAACGAACGATTATCTTGTCACTTCTAATATATAAAGCTATTCTTGCATCAGTTTACTGCAAAAAACAGCCTCAGATTTACTTTGTTTGATTCTTTTAAGTAACTGACTATTTCTTCGAATAACCCCTTCAGAATATTTCGCTGATCAGTGATGATATTATCCAGTTGTTGTAAAAAAATTCTGATTTGATCAGTGAGGGATGTATAGAAACCACAATGAAAACGCAGGACTGGATAGGATATTGATCAATAATGTAAAATAACATATGTAAAGTTAAATTTGTTGCTGAAACGAAGAAAAATGGTGTTGAATGAGACATGAAAAAGCGCTGAGTAGTCTTGTGATCATAATCACTGTTATCGCTGTTATCATTATCGTTATAACTGGAATAATCATTGCTGCAATCATTGGTCCACTTATTCCAGTTAAAACTTATTGCAGTTCGTGTTTATCAGCGATTGGACTTTCGTTGAGCACAAGGAAAGAGGAGTGAAATTGATTTCATGATGGATGTCAGATTGTTATAAAGTCACGTATTCGAACTATTTGAAAATGAGTAAGTTTAGCAAATGGATATTGGGATAATGTTAACATGGCACCCTTGCGGCAAACTGAAAGCGAATCGTCAGTTAATGATTGTTAGAAGTGATAGGACGATCACTCATTTAATTAATTTAAAATTGATCATCGGGTCGCTAATTTACGACCAAACTGATAAACTCAATCTTCCCAGTCCCACTTCTGTTCCTCTTCCCTTCCTCGCAAAATAATTACATAAATCCTCTTCCTTGCTATGACTGCAATCATGTAAAACCAGCTCTGCTGAAGTTACAATGCAATTTTTTTTGTCTCATCCAAATGCAACATCCCTTCAGTAATATATGAGTAAATTTATGAAGCATTAAAAGCAGAAAAAGTAAATATCATAGTTTAAACAGTACTATTAGCAGTCCGATTGCACTAATGATACATATTGTAATTTGAATGCAACAACGCAGTTGCCATTTCTTTATGCTGCATTCTGCAGTAGATGATTATATTCTGCTAGCGATAATAGAATGCCAAATTAAGAAGGAAAGTGGGTTTGAATCATTCAAATAATTTAAAGCTCTAAACTTTCGATTTTGTGCATCATTCTGAGCAATTGCATGTCATCACTCTACTGTTGACAAATATCTCCTTCTTGATTTATAAAAGAGGAAAGATAAAGAGAAAGAAAGAAGAAAAACATAAAAATAAACCGAACAATAACTCACATGTTCAATGCAAGAACAGTTTCTTACTAAATTAATCAGTCAAAGAAGAACTGCAATAATATATTTGGTGAATTAACATAACAACATTGACGGTCGTCACATATTTGCGAAAAAAGTACAGTAATATCAAACAAGAATCTGTATCGTCTTTAATGCACAATATGGCAACGGTACGATTTCAACGCGATTGATTATTAGTTTGAACTGAAGGAATCATCTATAGATCCTCTTAGGTACCTTGAAAAATGATGGTAAAAGAAACTTGCTCCCCTCTGGAATTGCAAAATTTCTTATTAAATCCACTCTAGATTATTGGTGAAACAAATGGTGAACATGTCAGTGATTCAGTGATTTTAGGTTCTCTTGAATGTAAAACTAATCCTCAGTATTTCTTAATGAAAAGCGCTTGTATCGTGGGAAAATTATCGTTCCAAAAAAGTGAAAACAAAGTAATAAAAACTGTTATCAATTCGTCAAACGATTTAAATTGTAAATTTGTATCATAACAGCTGATAGCTAAATTTATTTCTCTGACTTGCTTGATAAAAAAAGGCAGGAGCAATCTCCATTTATTTATTCAAACAAAGTTAAAGGATATGCATGACTTACTCATTAATTGAATGTAGAAACTTTTAGTAAACTTCAGTTTCGACCAGTTCGAACACAAAATCTTTAGTTGAAGTACTTTTTTTTGGTGATAGCCGTAGTTAATGATATAATTCTGATTAGAACTTTATGGACAAGAAAGACTGAAACGAATGAAGGACTGAAAGATTTGAGCGAGACATATATACCAGTAGTTTACTTTTTATGAAATTGAATTTGACCAGTATTTTACGGTCGAGGTTCATTCAGTCAATCGATGATTAGTAGAAGATGAGGTGGAAGGCAAAATCCATGTATCGAAAACTATATTGCTCAAAAATCCAGTCTCTAACATATCATTGGATGGGAACCGAAATGTGTGTGGTAAATGGATGGCCATCAATTCGCTTTCATATCCTAAAGGGTAGGTGAGTGCAGGAAAGGTGCATATCACCCAATGTCTTAATGTTTTTATTGTTTGAAAAATAGACTGATCGTAAAAAAAGCCAATAAATCAAATGAGTTCCAGAAATGGTCAGGCAAGCGTTGGCAGTGATATTCGTTCAGTTGCATTATCATTCTTTGAAGGTCAAGCGCTTTTCTTTTGTATCTTGTCTTGCTATTAGCTTTTACTCTCCTTGTTTCATGTAGTCCCTTATAAAAACTTGGTATTTAAAACTCAAAGCGGTGGTTAAATGATAATGACCAATGCAGTAGTGTGGCTTCAAGATCCTGAAGAGCGGTAAAAAAGATAGATTGAACAGGATCGGAAAATCGTATTAAGATTGAGTTAAAAAGTTCTAAATGAGGCAAGTGTATTTATAGGTCTGAAAAATATTTTAAAAAATAAGTGGATTTAAGAATATCGTTTGATGAATACATATTTATCAGTTACGAACCTCACTTCTAATTCATGATTATATCACATCGATTACAAGCGGACATAATGATAGGCCTAGAAAATTTATTAAGCAGCAGTTGGTAGCAATGACATCAGTAATGCATTCACACCAACAATTGAGACAATCTTGTTAAGGTAATACACACAAGTACAGCGTAATGTTCTGTCTTCCGATTTGCTAACTCCTTTCCAAAATACTTCCATTTGAAATGCAGAAACACTCAAGAAAACTGAACAGTAAAGTGATCCCTATCTTCATGTAGAAAATTACAGATTAATAAAATAGAACACCCGATTTTCTGTGGTTGTCAAGCTTTAAAAAATGTTTCTTTTAAATGCGTTTTCAAACTTCTTCACAAATAATGGTTATGACAAATCTGAAATTAGTTTACTCGAACAAATTTATTTTAGACCTTCTGATAGTAATTTCATTCTTGGTTTAGTATAGAAGATGATTGGAGTTTGTAGGTTTTCTAGGATTCGACTCGAATCTCCCTTTAAAAATCACTATTAAAACATATTCAACTTCATCCATCATCCCGATATATTAATTGTGTAAGCATGCTATTAATATATTCTTTGTCAAAAACCAAAAGATCTGCATGCTTTAAAAATCAACCATTAATTGTAGAGACTTATCAAAACAATGTGATGTGGGGAGACTAATATACTAAGCGATAACAATGGATTTTGGTTTAAAAAAGTGTGATCCGAGTTTTTTTAGCTACTGGCCGTCAAGGTCGCAAAAAAATGAAAGGAAGATAGGAAAAGGGAACAGGGAATTGAAGGAGTAACTTTCAGCGAGCAACTTTCTTTCATCTTTTATACATGAGCAAGCACCTCACATAGAAATATGTAGAACACACCTTTAGTGAGAGAAATTTAGTATTGCTCCATGAATGCCGACTTGAAATAGAAAACAAAAACGTCATCATCTTGCATTTTTTAGCATAGCTAGTGGTGAATCAATCAAGGAGCACAATTTGCACTCGTGACTCTCGAATAAATGAATTTAACGCTCTTTTCAAAGAAGGTATTTGGCCTTTAGCTACAACAGGATGACCGGAACAGTACAGAAGTTGAAGTTACACAACAAATCTTTTCGATTAACTGTAATGACTATATCTATGTAAATGAAAGGCACCAATTAATTTAATATTTTCCAACGTTTCTATTAGACCGTTCATTTTAATAAGTTGAAATTGTAATTACGAGAGAATGAGACCTATGCTGCTTAAAGGAAATTTCACAATCAAGGTGTACAAAATATTGATTGTTGTGAGTGTAAAATTTAGGTTATTAAATAAAAGAGCACAAAATGCTGCGAATAAAAATGTGTTAATGAAAATTATTGCTCATATTTTAAAGATAATGACGGTGGAGCGCTGTAGGCGCAGATGTGTACCAAGAATATGGTGATACAGAAAGGCGCGCAAATGCGTTATACTTATAAAGACAGGATGTAGAGAAATTTACATAAACCACTTCATGTAGACTTCGGTCTTTTTATTGATACAATAATGTTCTAATGACTTGTCAATAACACTAAAAGGATAAAATCAAAGTTTATCTTCGTTTTTCAGAATTATTTCGCACTAACAATGAACTTCCTGGCTTTTAATTACACTTCAAACATATCAGACATTTCATATCTAGTTGGAAAAAATGATATAACATACGGTGTCTGAAAAAACGAAAGCTTTTAAAACATTTGATCAAATTGTAATCTTACCAATAAACTGCAGATTATCGTGCATGCTATGTTTGTTGTAAATGTCAACAGCTTTGAGAAACATGAATAAAGCATACAACATAGTTGCAGTGACTTAAATTTTGTGATATTCACGATTTTATTTCAGTATAAAAAAAAAATATTGTTACTTTTCTTCAAGTAACAATTTTTTTTTTAACTTTTTTTTTTTGGACTATAAATTATATATAATGCTTCTAAGTTCTGTGCTATAACTTTTGGATCATTTCTTTAGATTATTTATTTATAATTTCAAAATTATTTACAGTTTCAATGCATATGACTGGAAAAATCGAGTAACTGCCCTGAACAACTAACTATTTGCTCTATCAATTTTAAATTTGTTGCTTTTGCTGAAGCATCAAGCAAGATCAATAAAACTTAAGAGCAAATAGATAAAAGTAACGTTAAGTTGTTTACAGTCTTCATAGTTTCATACATTCAAACATGTTACGATCGTTAAAATTCTTCGGACTTTTGACGTGAGGTCCATTCATGCTACTAGCATGCGATGGTTGATAGAACAAGTAGTTAGTTTTTCAGGGTAGTTACCCGATTTTCACAATCCATGGACATGGATAAACAAATAATCTAAATTGATCCAAAAGTTACAAATAAAACCTAGAAGTAAAGCAGAATTTATTTTATTGCTAGCTACTCAATTTTCTACGACTGACAAATTCTCGCCACTAATATGCATAAAATCGATTGTGCTGTCCAATTGCTAATTCTCAAGTTTATAACTTACTAAGAGATAAATTCGCGGTACTCCTTTCTTTTTTTCGAATATATAGCAGAAAGCGCCTAATAAGAGTGAGACGTAAATTTTCACTCACTGAAATGAATCGGAATTTAGGTTGTATCGCAAGATTCAGAGGACCCATAAGTGTGGTAGTAAAATCTTGTGAAACATTTTGTATGAGTGTCTCTATGCTTGTATCTGTGTATGTTTACATATATTGTTATTGCTCAGCCTTTATATTAGGTTTTTATGTCAGCATTTGTAGGAATTTTGGTTCCCAAAGAGACTATTACAAAATTATTAGAAAGCGCGCTTCTCATTCCTTCCTTTTGAAAGTCATAATATTAAGAGAAATAATTTCTCACATAAACACAATAGAATCTATATCTCTACATAAGGTATTTAAGAAGCACACTTCTCATTATATTGTACTACGTACACCTCAAAGAAAAGCGTACGTTTATATACATGCACTGTGTCACCTCGATTTCCAAATCCGTAGCAACACTTATACTTATTCATCCAAACATATAGTGAAGCGGCATCTGCAGAAACAGAATATACATACTTTATTGAATAGCCGTACCGTGGCAAGTATGTCTCTAATGTTTTTTGCATGTATTTTGGGGTAGGTTGGAAGCTTTGAAATTTGACATAAAGAAATTACAAATGCTCCGTTGATTCAAGTAATGTGGCATTTATCACTAATAAAAATTTAAGATTGAAAAATATAACGAATCACAAGTCCTTTTATCTAAATCGGTCCTCAATACTTGCAATTCAGTCATCAAAAAATAACTTTAATTAAATAGCAGTGGATCCCTAAATAAGTTAGTGTATGCTGAGTTTAAAAATGTTGCTTTCAAATTTGGTAAAAAAAACAACGTACTGAAAAATCTTACCTGAAATAAATTGAAATGGATGATGTGCAACTACAACTGTAGTTCTTTCAACAGTCTAATTTTAGAGGAAAAGTTGACAGGAAATACAAAGTTGAAAATGGATACATCTTTCCTAGCACTCCTTCTGTATGTGCTGAAAAACATTTCTTCGCTTATATGGTGGTCAATTAATGGTGAATATTTTTGGTTTTTCCTTTTGTATTATTATCAATCATTGTCCATTTCATATAGCTGAGATGAATTTGAACTCACAAAAGATTCTCGAGCACTCAGCATCGTAAACGTAAATGATTTTGATCATAATGAATCAAGGAATTAAATCGGTTTGGATATTTCCACTCATTTAAAAAGACATTGGCGTAAAATAAATATTTCATTTTCCAAGAATGCGATGCGTGGCACATGCTAACAGTTCTATCTAGATCTGACAGCAGCGCTGGTTACCATTTGATAAAGAGCAGTGATTTATTTCTCTCAGTCCATTATAGTACTTTTTGTTCATTTCTATCCTGAAGTTTCTGAAATCAATTCATTTTCTATCTAAATGATCATTCATTCTGTTCAGCCTTCATTTAATATTAATTAAATATGACCTTAAATATAGAATTATGTAGTGTCGTTGTAGCACCTCTTTCGAGAGGTTTACCAATGTTTATTCTGAAAAGAACTAGCTAACAACTTGATATATGGCAGAGAAAATATCACAAGTCCTCTGAAATAATCATCACCGCCAGATCTGTAATTCTGTGCACGAACCACATTTTGATTGCTCGAAATCGACCTTACCATGGATTTGATCTGAGGCCACATGTAACAGAAAACTTGTGCTTGTATTAAATGAAGAAAAGAATGCCGTCCCCAATGAATTTGTCTTCCACCACATGAAATCATACACACTACCATACCCCTCCCCTCATCATTGCTCGTGTAAACACAGTTAGCAGACATCATGATTTAACGGGCCAAGATACTGTCCGTTTGCAACCGAGTTTTCACCGAGTCGAGTGCAAACGTAAGGCAATGTTTGCGAAGGAAGGTGCACAGCAGGATGCATGGTGCAAATGGAATTTATAAACTATCCGCCACTCTTCCCTGATTCCTCATTTTAGAGTATCCAGAATTGCTAAAACTTTGACCATTCACAGTAATATCTCCGATTTATTGGTTCGTTGATATACCAGTATGTCAAAGTTGGCTAATTAGTATTGTGTTGTTGGTTGTGGTTGTGTAGTGTTTACTTTACTTTGCTTGCATTATTTTGAAGCAGTTTTGTTTGGTGGCATTACTTTTTAAATGTTGATGTGGTGTTAGCAAGGAAAAGTTTAATGTTACAAGATGGAAATGAACTAAGCCTGCAAAGCAATGAGTCACAACTGGATTCAACAATCAGCAATACCTGGAAGGTTTGGTCATTTTGCCACTTTCTCTTCTTTACAAACCAGAACATGGTAATTGGTCTCCATACTTCATTAGTAAAGTTTATTTTATAGTGTCAGGCCTGTTTATGGTGCTCAGTACCCTCCATTAACGGAATACAATGATTTTGCAAGTGGTGTCGGCGGAGCTGATGGTACCGATAATCAGCATTCAAGTTCTGGAGCAAAGTTCCAAAATTATGTGGACAGGTAGATGGACGATTTTCAGTTGACTGTTTAGTGAATCTGTGTTTATAAAACATTCCATTTGGAGATATGAGTTCATTCAAGATTAGACCTTCATTAACGTCGTGAAATATGCCTACATGCTTTGAGTAGTTTAGGAGCTTTCTATATAGGTCATGGTTAAGCGATTCTTACTACCTAATCACCAGGCTTATTTTCTCAGTGATATCGTATAGAACTTTTTTTATTGCATGACCTCACTCGTGGTTTCATTCCCTCATCTCCTGTTAAACACTTTGAATTGAATTAGCGAGCTGACCTATGGTAAACTAGGCAGTCGATCACTTTTAATTTGTAGACGTTTAATGTAAGGGCGGGTTAGAGTCATTCATCAAGTAAAGTCTGAGGGAAGGAAGTCTTAGTTTCTCTCCCGAAATTCTATTTGTGTTATTATTTAACTGAGTTCAACAACCTAATTTTTTGAGTTCAGCTTAACAATGTTTTAATGTTACAATACTTGCTCGATATGGTGAGCGGCTTTTCAACAATCATATAAAAAGCAAATATCCTTTTCTAGGTTTCAGCATATGGATAACTGGATAAAGCGAGCAACTTTTTCAGCGTATCAGATGCTTGGGATGTATCTGTGACACTGGATGAGCGAGTTGCTTGTACGAGTGCTGCAAAAGTTCTCGAACGACATGCCAACTTGATAGCGCGTGACTTGATAATGCCTCCAGTTAATCCAATTCCCTCAAGAAACAGTAAAATACAGGCCATGCAGCGTCTGGCTATCCAGAAAGGTAAATAGATTTTTTCTTTTATTGAGGTTTCATGTTATACATCTCATTTTTTATTAGGAAGTTTATAAATCGTGTTAATTTTTAGAACCAATACCAGGGACAATAGTGCCGACAGGGAGTAGTGGTATGCATCTGTCTATAAATTTATATCCGCGACTACCAGAAGTAAGTATTTTTGCTTTTTAAAAATCCGGAATATTATTCTGAAAATTATGAACATGAGATTCCTTGAGTTATGACAGAAGATTTATGCGCAATGCCTAAGCAGATATACATGAACCCATTAGTATTAATGTAGATTTGAGATTATGGTAAGAATAATTGGGACTGAATCTTATTTTTTATTTCTTGGAAAAGCTGCAGATATCGGTTGAATACGGAAGAGCACCATCAAGTTCAGTAGTAGGTGCTCCAACGATGGCACATAATTCACCGACAGTTCGAGGGCATACCTTAGGTTTTTATTTTTGCAATTTTTGTGCATAATTTTAAAGTCAAATAACAAATGAAAAAAAAATAATAATAACTGCATTCTTCCATCTACACATACTGATGCAGCAGTTCTAGTCAGTTGATCGGTGCGATTATAATGAAACAGTTGTTTTTTCCTAAATTTATGGCTCTTTTACAGCTCTTCAGCGTGACCATGCTCGCTTTGATCGGTTACGCGCCCAGCTCGGTGTTCATACAAGCCCGTCGTTAAGTCCAAAAACTGAGGCGCAGTCTTTGAAAACCATAGATATTGATTTGGAGCAGTTGCGTAAGGACTGTTGGTTAGGTATACCTCATAAATTACGACCAGCGATTTGGCGGATATTACTGGTAAATAGTCTCTAACTGTTTCAACTTTTTTTCTTTCATCTATATTTATTTTTGTGTTTTCATGACTTTGTTTAACATTGCTATTTAGAATATCACAAACAGCATAATCATCATTTTTTAGTGTTGAGTTTTTTCTTTCATCTTGCTTAATGCTTAATACTTTTTCTGTAAATTAGGGATATCTTCCAACAAATTTTGAGCGTCGTGAAGTAACACTTGCGAGAAAAAGGGAAGAGTATTGGCGTTATGTGGAACAATATTTCCATACTCGGTACGACGAGCAGCATCAGGATACATTTCGACAGGTTTATAGATTAAACTAGTCCATTGTTTTCTGCATTTTCATTAAAAATGCTATTAAAAATGGAATGTCAAATGAATTGATTTACAGATACACATTGATATTCCACGTATGTGTCCCCTGATACCACTGTTCCAGCAAAAAGTAGTGCAGGAGGTATGCTGTGATTGTTCCAAATTTTGGATACTTTTTTCTCTAACTTTTCCTGATCTTATTTTTTCTTATTTTTGCAGATCTTTGAACATATTTTGTATATCTGGGCAATTCGCCACCCAGCAAGTGGTTATGTGCAAGGGATAAATGATCTTGTCACACCTTTTTTTGTTGTGTTTCTATCAGAATTCGTATCTGACGGTTAATTTATTTTTTTTAATTCACTAACTGAATTTTAACATTACTGGAATGAAATCTTATAAAAACTAAGCAGTGAAAGACAAGTGCTTTGAATGAAAAATAATTTTAGATACAGAAGTTGGCACATATGATGTAAGTCAATTACCACGAGAGCAAATTGAAATTGTTGAAGCAGATAGTTTTTGGTGCGTCACAGCATTGTTGGATAAAATCCAAGATAACTATACCTTTGCACAACCAGGTATTCAGCGTAAAGTGTCGCAGTTACGACATCTGATGAGTCGTGTTGACAGTAAGTTCATTTGCATGATTATATTTTCTGAATTTATGAATAAATCTACATGAAATTCTGTCATGAGTAATTACAGATTTCAAAGTATAACATTCCCTTTACTTTCAGAGCAGCTTCATCGTCATTTGGAAACACATGGTGTTGAGTATTTACAGTTTGCATTTCGCTGGATGAATAATGTTCTCATGAGAGAAATCCCTTTGCGAGCCACAATTCGCCTCTGGGATACTTTCTTGGTGGGCTGCTGTCTGATTAGGCAATATGTTACACTAGTTTAGTCCTGAAAGAATTTATTGGTAATTAGAAGATGTAGTTTGTTGGTGAAATTGTTTCTTTTGACCAGACTCGCCGGATTTTGAAAATTTTTACTTAGATGTCCGGATTTCTTCAGAGTGAAAGGAATGGTTTTTCGCAATTTCATGGCTATGTGTGTGCAGCTTTTCTTCGAATGTGGTCTAAGCAATTGCAAGCAGAAAAGGATTTTCAGGTTTCTAAAAAGTGTCATGTATCTTGAGATTAATGAATTCGTTAGTGAATTCAGTACTAAATTGCAGGGAATAATGCTGCTATTACAAAATCTTCCGACGCATAGCTGGGGAGATCAGCAGATATGTGAGTTAACAGCAGATGCCTTTTCTTTGATGGCACTTTTCGATGGCGCTAAGAATCATTTGATACAAGATGTGAGTACGTAACAAGATTTAGAAAACATTTGCTACATTGAATTACTCTTTGTTCTTTAGTTTCTTTACCAATGAACAGTCCGACTATGTTTAACTTATCACCATTTCTCATAGTTTTCAAAACACCAAGCGAAATTGGTATGTGCACTGTTTATAATTCAGTTGTCTTAAGCGGAGAGATGCAAAGATGTACTGGCCCTTTTCAATACCTTTCTATTCCTATATTTCACTGAAAACAAACCTTACTGGAAACCGGCAATAAAACAGTTGTTTAGATATCATTGTAGACGCTACGCTATCTTGCAGGGTGCGTAGGGGACTTCCACTTCATAAATCCTTTACAGTTCCCAAGGTTCCTGGTACACAGTCCCCTATCTTAGCAAGGTTAAAAAAGTGCCTAACCTTATGGTGGTTGTGAGAATTTTACTTCTGATTTCATAGCAAATAAATTATTTGACTACTGTTATCAGCGTGTTTCCACATAAGACATAACATAGAAAGTTTTTACCAGGTTTAATCGATCAAAAGACAAATATATGATCACATAGTGTCAAAAATTATTGCGTGGAACTGCCTACGTATCTTATGGAAGAGCACATGTTACATATTCTCACAATTCGGAGTCGGTTCGATGCAATCTCAACAGACGATAGTTTGAAACATGAGTACTGTGCCTTTCATTCTCGAAAAAAAAAAATTAAATCGAGAGAAAATGTCTACCCTAAATTGCAATAAAGGTACTCCTCAATTAATAAGTGGAACTAAAGGTACTCCTCAATTAATAAGTGGAACCCATTGCATGAAACGAAAATGTGGACTAGAATTAACATTTCAAAATAACTATGAGAAATTTGTATACAAATGTGATGAAAGTGGGAAGTAAGAATGTAATATAAAAGTCGAGGGTCAGAGGTAGTCTCGTCCGAGAACTACAGCAGGTATGTGTTACAGTGGACTGGAGGAAATAGGCAACGAAACAAAATATAATGCATGCACAAAACCAAACCCAACACTCGTTTTCAAAAAAAGTTACTATAAAATTCAAGTACAACGTTTAGCTTGTAAACAAAGCTTCAGATGTGGACAACGAATGAAAACGACAGCTAGCAATACACAAGTACTTAACACAGACATAAACCCTTCAATTTACTATACAAGTGGTGAACTATTATTCCCGTTCAGCTCTTCGCTGTCTTCGAAGTATCGGATTTAAAACTATTGAACTTGAACCTGGATGCATATCAGCATTGGCTGAGTCATCGTCAGGATTGTAGCTCACATCCACTTCTGTATCGCTGTCTGAATCCACCGCCAAAGCTTGCACTTAAAAAATTTACCACTCGACTTCAATGCAAACATTTCGAGCTTTAGGGAACCAGATCAAAAAAAAAAAAAAAAAATCATAGGACATTTTCTCAAAGATTATAGACGAAGTACTAAAATGTTTTCGCCCCTTCCAAACTACATAATGGTAACATACGTAAGCGAATATCTCGCCGGTTTGTGCCTGGATCAAAAACAATGTTTAGTGCTTCACGATCACCAATCCTCAGCAGAACACCATTACTTCGTTCTGAACTTTCGCCATTTTCCGAAATGTGACCGTCATCATCTGCCCACTAAAAACAGGAAAATTTCTCAATTCACGTTGAAGTGAAACTCAACAATTCTTATTTGAAAAAATAATTGGTTAGTCCTTAAAGTGTTGGTAGTTTCTTTTTTAACTAGAACTTCTTACTGACCACATGAACACCATCAAGATATCTTAAAATTATAAAACATTCATTACCAAACTTTGTGGAAAGAACATACCTGTTCATCTTCATCATTTAAACTGCCATTAAGACTATGTGTTGATTCATATAAGGACTCATCACTTTCTTCATCAGAATTCTCTTCTGATGAAGAATCCGTAGCAGTTGTATCACCAAGCGATGTATCCATTTCACTTGATGAGCCCATATCATCATCTCCATTATCATCACCTGTTTCTTCCTTCAAGAAATTCTTTCAACACTGTTAAGCATTTAACAAAGACTAAAACACTTAAATGTCCGGTTAGGCAACCACCAACTTAAACATGTACAAAGTTCGCAACAGCTGTTAATTCCAATTGAACATTTTCAAGGAACTATAAGAATTAAAAAATATGGACGATTTCTGGAAGAATTTATACAGTTCTGTCATTCACTAAAATGCAAAAAATATGTACTTGTTCATCATCACACTCGTCTGCTTCACGGCGTTTCCCAACCTCGTAGAGACGGCAAACATTTTCTCGCAACTCCAACAAATCATCAGCATTTCCATGAGCTTCAATCAAAGCCATATACTGATCGTTATGATCAGCACAAAAATCGAATAAAGCTCGTTTTGCATCCACTGTTGTAATTACCTGCAAAAAATCTGATCTTTCTTAAAATCAGAAGTACTGGATGTGGATAAAGATAAATAAAGAGAATAGACAACTATACTTCACATCACACTAGCTCTCCATATACCAGGAATGAAACTGGAGATATATTCAACATAGTAGTATGTACGGTCACTACTAATTCTAAATTATACCTTGTAGGTAGTGGAATCGAAAGTTCGAAATGAACAAGCGAATGTTTGACGAAAGCGATCATCTATTTCTTCTACATCCAAATATGTAGCTGAAAAACTTCACAATTATTTTAATAGTTGCAGTGGCATCTCAATCCAGATCATGTTAATGTATAAACCGAAGCGGTTTTACTCTTCATCAAGATAAAATTAGTTGAATTTTCAGCACAGAAAAGAACATACATCCATAAATAGCATCTGTACCACCGCTAAATACAATTTTACATTGATCGAGTGCACTGATACTATGAAGCAATTTGAAATTTCGCACATCCCACTAGAAATTTCATCATTAAAAAATGAGCACCATTTATGACTAAAAAGATTTCTACCACCTTAGATTTCATCCCACCAATCCGAATTTGAAATGACACAATCAGAATGAAAGCAAAACTACTGCACATTGGAAAGGTGGAAAAAATTCTGCTGCCTATAATAACTTGAAAAGGAGAATTGATGTTGCAAAGTTAGAATCTTGCTCTTAAATTGCTCGGGAATTAAAAGAGTTTGTCGACTCAATACAAACAAAAATAAATGAGAAACAAGCCGATACCTAACACTACTGAACACGTTTTATTAGTACTAAAACAAAAAATGGACATCGGACGAACCACTTCAGAATTTATGATAACTTCGTTTCCACGTGGGTGGAACATACCACAATTAATAGCATTCATTTTGTCGAATTTGTGCACTATTTTTGTCCCCAATCTCGGATCCCATAATATACCATCATTTAATATCAATTCATCTCTCGGGTCAAATGTTGCCCTAAATTCACTATTTTATAGATACTCAAGAATATCTTGTAACTAGGCAGAAAAATCTTCCTATGTCCTAGTAACCTATACTGAAGAAAAATTTCATACAAACTTCTGCCTTGGAAATTCAAATGCCACATTGTGTTGTGCGAATGACCATTAATGGATAGAGTTAAAGTGGAGGAAAAATGGACATAATATGTATTAAATATTGGTTGTCTATCCAAAAATTAGTACATGTTCAGCAAATATTGCAAAGAAGATACGAACCAGTTTGGATTAGAATGGTATAAGAAAATCAACATATTTTGATAAAAGATCATAACAGTGATCTGAGTATATATGCAGTCTTATTTTCCATTAAATAATGAACTAACTTGTTACGGGTATAATTATTTGCCAAAGTTTCATCAAAAAGGCGAACCACAGCTCGACCAGTTTCCGTATCATAAATCTAAAGTGAGTTTTAGCTACATAATACAAAAGAATTGTAAATCAGTTTATCATTTGTAATTACTGTAAGAAAAATACCGTTGCTTTACTCCCTTGCGTTCCGATGATACGATCTTGTACTGTTTTATTGAACTCAACAAAGTATTCATCCGGAAAATTGATCATATGTTCCTGTGTCTCACCAATACGCCAAAGCGAAGAAAGTGGCTTCACAAAAGCCGATGAAGTAAGCAATAGTGAACCATCCTGAAATATTTCGTAATAACAGTCGAAAATTAGAAATCGAGAATCACTGTTTAAAATACCCGAGTATATGATAAATTAAATAGAAAAAATATGATTCACTTTTGACTGTTCGATACCAGTAATTGCACTGTGATGGCACTCGGTGTTCGATTCTTCAGCACCAGTATGTATATTAAACCAGTTCAGTGCTCCAGCATAAGAACCTAACAGTATGTGTTCATCATCAATCTGAAAAATAATGAAGAAATCTCTTGACAAGTCGTAAAAAAAAAAAAAAAAAAAACACGTTGTGTATTATGTAGTAAAAAATAAGGAGACAAATCTATTTTCCCCTAAATTTTTTGCAGAAAAATTACCGAAAAACTGCAGCAAGTAAATGTCTCCTCGCTTTCCGTAAATGATCGCACTGGACGAAAGCGACTGAAAGCAAAATGAATGTCCTCTCTGAACCTTTCCCGATTCCACGCAGCCGAAATTAACTAAAATGATGAATTACTAACAGCATTTGTTTTGCAGACATTTAATTGATTAAGAAGTCAATAGTTATAATATTTGACACTATTTTTTTTATAATATTTACAACATTTGACAATATTACAGAAAATATTAAGAATGTTTTTAGGATATAAATTCAATTTCTTTTCGCTCAATATATCTCATTTTATGCTGATTTCAATGAAAACAATTTACCGGACGGCTTAAAAATCGATTAGCAATATTTTTTGGAGCAAAGCGTTTACGTTGTGGTTCCGGACAGTGGTGTGGACTACAACAAAAATATTACAGTCTTTGTTGAATTTTTCTGACTAAAAAATAAACTGTTGTTTAACAAAAATTAGCTTACTGGATTTTTTTTTTTTAAAGGAAACTATATAAATCAGTTTCAGTGTAACATACTAGTAAAGCGAGAAGGGAGGACATGTAGATATCGGATTACAACATGCCGAATGTTGCTTTCTGAAAAATAAGTTCAAAATTAGAATTTATTCTATGATTCTATCGCTGATTCACTCCAAAAATTTGGGACTAAACTAAGTCAAATGATACCTGAAAAAATCTGTAACGATTTCGTCAAGATCTTTTGGAGGAACCGGCATTGCCGACGACAACTGAGGGTTTGTGGAGCTTTCGGTACTGTCCGTAACCTCAGGTTTTCTAAGGTCTGTTGAATAGTAACTTAGAAAAGATGTTCCTGGTGAGCTTCCATCACAATGACGACCTGAAAAAACAAACATATAACAGTAAAAAAGACAAATAGTACCGGCGAAATGTCAGTTTTTGAAATCACAGAAAAATAGGTGCTTTAACAGTTTCCATTGAAAAAACACGTAGTAACATCGCTTATTATTCCTACGCAATAGCTTTGAGCATCACAGATATGCAATGTTATTAAAAAAAGAAACTTACGTCCAGCAATGTTCAACACCTTTGTTGATTTTGACATGGGTGTCGAGGATAAGGAAGCTATCTGATCTTGCTGTTCATTAAGAAGCGTGTGTTCTGCCCTTTAACAAGATATCTACATGCAATGAATATATCGTTCCACAGTTTCATTTAAAACATAGTAATTTAATAAACACTTCATTATTTCGATATTTAGCAATACGTAACTCGGTAAAGAATATAAGACTGCCTTGTTGGGAAAAAGATAAAGGTGAACAATTTATGCAAACTAATTAAGCTTAATCAATTCATTCTGCAAAACTTTACAAGTGTTAATCCGTGACACGGAAGGCATGAAAAAATAAAATTTTTGCATTTAATAAAATTTGCAAGTAATATACAGTTCCAGGAACAGGCTTTTTCTTTTAACTAAAAGCAAGTATATTAAAAGATATTCATGCAATGCCAGATACTTTGATTTAAAATCTTACGTAATGATGGGTGCTGTTAACCGCTCACTTCTTCGACGCCGATTATTGCCATCGAAAGTGCTCAAAACCAAAGTTTTCCCTAACACAATATCGCTGTCGACATCAGAAAAAGTGTTGCCAAAACATTTTGGCTAAAAAACATTTGAAAAAATTTTCCCTATTACGGAACGATATTAGAGTTCAATGACGAAAAACAAAACAAAATTACCAATGGACCGATAGAAAGCAGACGAGTGGAGACACGGCTTGCGGGTATATCAGGTAAATTGGCTTCTTCTTTTAAATTCTCCGCTGTTTTGAGCATACCCTTTTTAATCAGATGTTGATGTATTAGTTGTAGTAGTTCTTTGTCATTGTAAACAACTTTGGTATGAGCAACGATATGCCATTTCCAAAGTTTTTCCTGTAATATTCACAAAACCTTTTTGATGAAAATGTGTAGCTTATTGAATCATAGCATAATTCTCGTGCGTATAGTTTTATCTCATCATTATCAGTATGTTCAAAAAATAAAATCAGCAAAACATGCACTTTCGTCAGATCTTTCGGAAAATCATGGATTCGTTTTCTGGTGATCTTCTCAATCAGCAAATGAGCTTGTTCACAAAACCGAGTGTGTTCAGCACGTCGTTCCTGCAGAACCGGCTCACGCATTAGACCTAAAATTAAGACGAAAGATACTCAAAAAAACTGTCACGTATTAATAACTGTACATTAAAAAATTTACTAAAATTATACCACAAAGCTCGCTGTTTGCAATGAGTGGCATTACTTCGAGGATTTGACGAACATTTTCGGAACGTGCTAAACCATTGAGAATTTGACACGCAATCCCACGAAGCGCATCCGCTTCTGTGATTGGCGTTTCTGTGTACAATAATTTTTTCAAGATCTACAAAGAAAAAAAAAAATAGAAAAACCGCGGAACAAAAATGAAAAAAAGGATTAGACAGTTTTTCTTCTTCTTGCAATAACTAACAATTTTCAACAGATATTTGCTGTATAATACTTTACCAGCATAACTGAACTCGGAGCTGCAAATAGAAAACTTTGAAATATAGAGAGTAACAAAACAACTCGCTGTTCTGAGACAACTCCCAAAAGAAAGAGAATTCAATCTATTTGGTTACACTCAACATTACATAAACGAACTCCAGACATAAGACATAACATAAAATAGATCTATTTTCAATGGAGTATTAAGATTAAAAATCACCATAATTCCATTATTTCTTCGAATAGCACTCCACACTTTTTCCAGAAAAAATTCCATCTGTGCTTTTTTTTGTTTTCGTATTTTATAAGGCGTCCCGACACTTCGACAGCTTATTCGAGAATCAGAGACGTGTACTAAAGTGTCACTAGTTGAAGGCGATAAAGCTAATCGTCCACTATGCTGAAAAGGATGACCTTCCTCGTCAAAAGTTGTTAATCCTCGACAGTTATTAGACAGCAAACACTTATTCATCTGCACGTTATTCCTCCTTACAAAATATAATTTTGGAACCGCAACAAACATCCATGCTATTTTATTTTAATTATGTGGTTTGCTAACTCAATCTGCATACGTCTACTTAGAAATAAGCAAAACATTTATATGACGAATAAATTCTATTGAATCACTGAACACACTTCTTACATTTAAAAGAAATTCAAACCGACCCGTTCCAGTGGAGCACACACACAATTTATTATCACCCTCAAAGCAGCGAACTGAACTTCAGAGTCTGCTATCATTTCGCCTTCGCAAAGTTCCAAAATTACTCTGAAATTCAAAGCTCATCAAACCATTAACAAAAAACTCAATCCAACTACACATAAAATCTAAATAATCTCATCCGCAGTTCTCTCTAACCACACCGAACATGTCTGCTTAAAGAAACATATTACCCGAGAGATTCAACATTTTGGTCTCGTATTTTCAATGTACTCTCGCAAATATCCATCTGAATCCGAGGGACGGCAGAACACATCCACAGAACCTTGAATAAAAAATTCCTATTAATTTAAGTGCACATTACAGCAATAGAAATTAAATGCTTTGTGCCTACTGTAGAGCAAAAGCTGATTTCCTTCGCAAAATTATTCGCATCATTTCCAGTTCTCTTGATGTATGGATGAAAAAGAACATTACTCAATTCAAATAACAGCAGCAAACCCAATCAATCAGGAAATGAAATCAATGAAAGTGCTTTAATGCGAAGAAAGGTTGAAATATGTGGCAAAAAAGAACCTACATCAAGAGACATTTTAAGAATTTCAACTTTTGAACCACCATTCCAGGAATTAGCTGTACCGATTAGGAAATACATAGTGCGAATAACTCCTAAACGTTTCAATTCATCAACAGGTCGCCAAGATGAATGCAAACTCAAAGTATGCAGCAGAATCCAAACGCAAGTTTTCAAATTTTCGTCATCCAGATGCATCCCCTGTAACTAAACTCTTACGGAAAAGGAAGTGCAACAGGAAAAACGAGGAATTTTTTGAACCAGCACTTCTACTTAGAAATGCAGTATATTTGTTTAGCAAAGAGAATATCTGAACTAAAGAACTATGACAGTATTCAACCTTATTAGCCGGCAAACCATGAACACACGAAGGGATGACGATATCCCTGAGACACTGTAATCGAGATACATGTGTTCGCTTCAGATGTTCCACTTTGACAAAAATGTGGGCAGCCATATAACTGAAACATCACAAAAAAATGCATAAACATTAGGTAGAAAAAAATAGACAATTGATATTAACACTCAGTTATAATTGCTTTGATCAAACAATACCCCGAAAACCTTTGGAAGCTTTTATAATTGAATATACCTTCTAAAAGCCATGCAAGTATTTCGAATAGCTTGCATACTGGTATAGAGATGTTCATCAGAAAGAACAGTATCCGAATCTTCTTGCAAAAGGGTTAAGGTCGAAATCTGGAACAGAAAAACATGGAACAAACTCGCTTGTCAAATAGTACTTCATCACTAAGAAAATTAGCGCGTGTATATTATTTAAATTTCGTTTATACTTTTCTCTTACAAGCTTAGCGGTAGATTAAAGAAAAATAAAGATATGGGCGACAGAATGAATGCTTCCAGATGCTTTTACCCAAAAATTAAAAACTGTTGCCATCATAAGTATTTGTAACCAGAGTACTTCAGATCGTATGAAGCTATTTTGAAATTTTTACATAATTAAACAGGCGTCGAGGCCCATCATAATCATCGAATCGTTCAAGTACAGGTCGAAATTGGAATGCATGAGTAAAAAACATTGACGATCCAGCACGACCACTTTCATAACTATGCTCCAAAAGCCACAACGCGTAGCTGAAAGTAAAGATTTGAAATTTTATAACAAGCATTAAATTATCCTAAATGTATTGAGTGTGCAAATAAACATCTAATTTCTTCTCGAGGATGGTTTGGGGTCGTCAAATGAAAACCATCCAGGTCAGGTTTTTGATACATTATGCTTAATCGATTGAAAGATCTGCCGGTGACTCAGGAAATATTTCACACGGATTCAAGGACCACGCTATTACAAACACAAGCATCATCATAATGTCCTAATGATAGTATCTCAACCCAATGAAATAACAACAAAATACATGAACTTACTGGACGAGTTCATTAAGAGTTTGTTCCGGCAAAAGGCAAACACCTTCCATTGCATCTGCATTATAAGCCAAATAATAAAGACATGTTCCAACAACAACTGATGCCAGTGAATCACGTTCTATACGAATCAAAAGATCTACACCACCAGCGGCCACAAAATCCAGCGCGAGTCTACGATGAACCAAAAGACCAGCAAGATACTGGAAAACAGATCACACTTAAAGAAAAATTACCTGTGAAACTTCTTTTTTAGGATACAAAAATTTTGGTTTATGAGGTTGAAAATCCGGTGTTAACACTTGACAGACTAATACCATTTATCAAAAAGAATTTCCATCATCTTAAATCACAAGGAACCTTTAAAACATCAAATATGAGACGGCTATCGTGATTACGAGCACCTTCCAAATAGCGTAGAACAAGATCCAATGAACGATTCTCATAAGTTTCTTTCAAAAGCTGAAATGTTTAAAATAAAGTGCTGTTATTTACAGCATTCTGGCATATTACACTAGTGCTGAGAACAAAAAAATAAGAAATTCTATGTTATGTTAAGAATAACAGTATAATACCAATAATCCATTCGCCCTACAAAAAAAAAAAAAAAAAAAAAAAAAAAAAAAAAAACTGAAATACTCGGTAGTAAACTATCGCAAGAAAGAAGCAAATACAGCACATCCTGATATTCTCCAATAGGTGTAAGATACTGAATAATTAGGCGCTGTTCCATAACAGTTGTTAAAGGAAAGATTCGGTATTCTCCCAGACGTCGTTTTTGAATTACAGCCCACTGACTATTACTCTTTCCTTCAATAAATGATCCCAGCGATGTGCTTGAGCAACGAGTCTGAAGACAAAAAAATTAGAAGTCATATTAATGTCATGAATCTTCCAGTGTTATATAAACAATGTAAAAGGTACTTTTTATGTGTTTAAATATTTGTCGAAAACAAACAGATTTTTAATTTAATCAAAAAACGACTTTTTTGAGGGGTAGAAAAAAAAAGACAATAAGAAAATCAAGAGAACAGGTACTAAGAGAAATCAAGTGCAACATGAAAAATGAATGAAAATGCGAAATTTATTCAGAAAAATAACTAATTTATACAAACTTCATAAAAACTAGCATGTTGTTCTCTATCCAGTCTAACTTTTTTCCGCGGTGGTACGGATAGTTCTAGATTCTCGGATACAGAAGATTCGTAGATCGGTTCACTAAAACTACACAAACTGTCAACAAAGAAGTTTAACAGTTTCTTGTCTTGAAGAAAATTTTTATAAGACATCAACAACAACAAAAAAAAAAAAAACACTGAAATAAACCATATTCTTAGGATGGATTTTCTTTCTTCACTGTACAATGATCCAGTAAAATTGTTCGCAATAACGGCAACAGATGGCCCTGACGCTTCCTCTCCACAGTACCTTGCTGTTTCGCGTTCCTTTAAAACCTATGATAAATCAAGCTTCTTAAAAAACTTTTTAAAAAAATACATTTCTGCTTTTGTTAAGATTTTTCAGTGCAACCCAACGAAAACATAGCTATTAACATAAAGAAAGTGTCCGGCAAGCATTGATGTATTTTAGTTACATTTTATAACACTTAAATTTCAGCCCCATCACATTGATAGCCGCAATTAGCGTTCCACTGCAAGCGATTCCTAGTAATAATTCTATTTCTGCACATATTTTATGAATACGCTGACTTCGTTTAATATTTTCACTTTTTTTTGCTTATTCTTTCTTTCATTTATCATGCAGTACTTTAAAAAATAACCAACATCAGCCAGTGAAGGTCTTTCACCGCTATGGAATATTTCTCGGGGCATACCAGCAAATGGACCACTATCTTCAACATTTTCCTCTTTATTTTCCTTATCTGGTTCTGATATTTCCGCAGTTTCTTGTTTCTCTTTTTCCATTTGTTCCTAGAAAACGTACAAATAAAAATAAAGGGAACAGCCTACAAGTTTAATAGATATATTAATATATTAATCATAATTTTTTACGATGTAAAACTACTGCCAAAAGACAAAATAACTTACAAACAAATCCTTTAAACGTCGTAGTGCAATTGGAATGAGAGCAGAATTTTCTAATTTAAGACTACTTGCAACACTTGTTACATCTAAGGCGGCTGCAAGCAGACCAAAAGAGTACGCCCTCAAATAACAATTGGTTGCATCGTTTTCTGCCCATCTATAAAGTTGCGGTATCAAACCTTCTGGCTCCTGAAATATTTTCATATACGAATCAAATTTCGAAAACTTTTGCGAAGTATTTTTAAACTATGTTTTCATGAGGAGGTAGAAATATCAATAAAAAGTTGTGGACAAAGTATCAGTTACTAAAACTTACGGATAAGACAGTAGAATCTAAACCGGGAATAATATTGAGCAACAATCTTGCAGAGGCAATATTTAATTCAACATCATCGCGCGACATCAAATAAGACACAAGAAGCTAGAAGAAAAGTTTTGAGATACATGGAATCAGCAGCGTAAAAAACGAGTAATGAAATTACAAAGTGCACTTAGAATGTCTGAATGAAAAATCATGCAATCAAATTTAGCAAAGAATGTTATAATTTGTATGAAATTCATCACACACTACAACTTTTTCTAACCTTGTTCATGAATTCTTCGTAGCGACTGATAACTTTTAGCAGGTGGCCCAGGATACAAGAAGGATATGTTTTAGCCGGATGACGACCATCTAAAGGGTCAGGGTCTTGCTTCAAAAAATCATCAGTTGCTTCTTCTATTAATTCCGAAAGTCTGCAATCTTTTAATGAGTCAAAATGATTCAGTCAAAATTAACCAATGAAACTGGCCGGGAAAGCAATGGTGATAACCCCAGCAACCAAATTATTTCGAAGTTTTCTCAAGAAATAAACACCGTTTTCTCGGTCCTAAAAAAAAACGACGGAAACCTGATAATAGATAGTTTGGCACTGAATGAAGCATTATCATTCTCAGCTTCCCAAACAGCGAGAATAGCTTGCAATTCTCCCGCAGCGCTCGACTGGCTTGGATGAGGCAGATGAGTCGCATGTGTCCCGTGGCTCGACCGCGACGGAGCAAACATCGAAATACAAAATTAATCTGGAAATGATCTAAATGTAAAACAAGAATAGAAAGTGTGGAATTGAATAATAAAATCGCGAAGTACAAACTTCATTTTTGGAATCAGTGCATTTAAGATCTGTTATGTTTTACTTTACTTAACACCTTTCAACTCACTTGTCGTAGCTTAATATACCGTAACATAAGAAAAACAAATCCCTAATATATACACGTTTTGCACAACGCCCGAAACTTTTTCAAGTTTCAATAAGCCACTGGCCGCGCCCGCAATAGATGGGAATGCGGGCTTCCCAAACATTGAAATGCGTAGGTTATGGAATATGGAGATACCAGTGACTTTAATTGAGTGGTGATGGATGGAATTTCATTACCCTTTCATAACATTTATCTATTTCTCTTATCATATGAGACATTACTAATAATATTACTAAGTTTTAAAACAATCTTTTGGGCAGTTTTCAATTTTCATTGCATGACAAGCCAAATTATTTGTTGACCAGGAAAAAAAAACTTTGTAATTCATAACAAGACAATAAACAAGTTAGCGATAATGACCAGGAGTATTGCAGGTGAAAAGTTAAGTAGACTGGAAGCTATTCAGTCTCTAAAAGAATACTACGCAGTTTGCAACTAAAAACCTGTCATTATTATGTCTAGCACTAGATGACCAAAAAATTTTGATGGACTCAGATATTCCAGTAAGTGTATATCATAAAGATGAAACTATTTACGACAGTTATTTTGCCGTCAGCATTTCAAGTATGCTCCATGTTAGTTTGCGAAAACCCTTCACCAAACTAGATTCATTTAATATTAACTTGTCGAATTCAACAACTTCATTTATTTTGTGGAGGAACGATGGTTTATATAAAAGATATATTACCGTATATGAACAGAGTGCAGGTGTCGACCGCTTTTTAGGATCACTAACTAATACATTGACGCTTTCAAATTAAGACGAATGAAAAAATCAACTTTTGCTCTTCCTCTCTCTTCCTCTCTCTCTCTCTCTCTCTCAGAAAATGACATATCACGTGAAAAACTGCGCGTGCATAAATAAACTAACTACCCACGTTGTTAGTTGCAGCAAAAAGCATCTACATTTTACTAAGCCAACTGTTTAACTGAAGCGATTATTCCCACAGAAATTACTGCGACAAAATAGTGCCGAAGATGGGAGTAAAATTATCAACTCAATTATAACTGCCATTGTTTGAGCTCTCCTTGCGCATTTTTTTTCGCAATTTCATTTTGTTTCAACGAAGGTAGGTTTTTACATTTTTGTACTCTTTTTTGTCTCAGTATTGTTTTCCTGCTATACTTCTCATCATTGTAGCTTACACGGCACAAAAAGTCGATGAAAGATTAGAAATTTTAGTAAGAAGACATTGCGTGAAGATGAAGTAAGAAATAACGAGGGGATAAGGTTACAACTTTATTTCTTCCAATAGTTAACAAATTTCTGATAATTTTCAGCAAGGATGTGTAAACGATCTGATAAATTTGAGCCAGAAGCGGGATGATTAAAAAATCATGATACAGTGAAAATGCTTACAATGACTTTGGTGATTTCGAAGGTACTGGTGACAACTGCAAAAAGACTAATTACATAAAGCTAATAGCAGCGTCGCCGATGCACTTGCCACTACAACTTTTTGGGAGATACAAACCTTCATCCTCACACAAAACATTTACCACTTCCAATCTATGCCATTTATGAGGGCATCCTTCAACCAACCACCCATCATCCGCCTTTATAAACTGTTCCTTTACTACGGGGCCGCGTTAAATATTACACCTGTGTTAATTCTAGTTAGTCGTTGGTTTGTGAACGGACTTGTTGGAAGGTTTTGGGTTCCGATGATGTAGCAAAATTATCATGGTGTGGTCATTAGGAAATCATTTATAGGGTTCCGTTAGAGATCGTGATTGTGCGATAATACCATGGAGTGAGGCATGAAATCGATCGGTAAAGGCGTAAATATATTTAGGAATAGTTTTCCATTTCGCAGCTTTAACTATGAATGATCGTACTTGCATTTTTTATCTTCAGCGCATTTTGTGCTTATGTGGACTGGAACTGTTTTCAGAGCAGATTTAGAGGAATGACATACTGACTGTGCTTGTTCCAAAGAAAACATGATTTACATTTCTTTGGAAGCAGTTTCGCACAGATCTTGCATTCCTGAGCTAAACTGATTCATGTACGCAGAAGTTATATAGATTAAATTTCTAGTAGAAGGTACAAAATAATAAATGGGAACTGGACATGATTTGAAGGTAAAAATGTACTTAGAGCAATATATATTTGACGTATAGCACTTCTAGAATGCCTTCAAAGATGCGAAATACAATGCGCATTGTCCATTCGTATGAATATGCACAAGGTCTCGATTTAATACTGACTCCATGTTTTTGGATTTCAGTGTGGTGATAGTTAGCTGTCTGTTGAGTTGCTCTGAAGCATAAATTTTTTATTTTGTCAGTGTAATGTGTTCTGTTGGCATTTAGTGAGTTTTTTTTCTTTTTTTTTTTATTTGTCTATGTTTTTAATTTGTAAAAGGAAATTTTCTGACGAGGATGTTTCAAATTCTTGCTATTCACCAAACTGACTTATTATTCCCCCCTTACGTTTCCTCTAAAAAAACTGGACTCTGTAGAAGGAAATATTTATATGTTCTCTGTTTATTATGTTTACTAGTGTAAAACGGAGTTGGTTATATGAAAGAGCATTATCGTCGCTGAAGCATGTTTCATTTAATTTCTAAAATTATGATATGAAACATGTAATATTCAATGAACTGAAGCATGCATCGCTGGTCATCTGGAAGCTCACACACTTCATTACTGCTATTATATCTGTTAACTGTTCTGATAGAAATTAATGATGATGAGACGAAAAAAACTTTTCCAAACTTAAGGTTTTTTGCAGGACAAAATGGCAAGTGATGTAACAGAAAAGTGGGCCTGTTCACAGTGTACTTACGCGAATTTTCAAACGGCAAGGGCATGTACGATGTGTCGCACTCCACGACATTCAGTTTTTATTACTGAGCCACCCTGTACTTCCAGTGCTGTTTGTGGTGGTGAAGAAAGTGAACAACGATGGCCTTGTCCGGACTGCACATACATGAATGTTCTGAAATCTCGTCATTGTGCGGTGTGTATGTGTAGACGCCCTGCTGTTTTTGATGTTGAAGATGAGAAAGAATTTGTCTGCAAAGGTCACAAGTTTTGAAAAATAAAGTGATTTTCATATTATTTCCCAATAGCTCTTTGGGGGCAGTGTTTTTTTTTTTTCTTTAATTTGTCTTGTCATTTTATCCAGCTTCAATTACTTATAAAATGTCAGATGAATGTTCAATCGATTTTGAACAAGTTGAAAAGTTAGGAAAAGCTCTGCATAAATGGGATTGTTCGCAATGTACTTACAAAAATTGGCCAAACGTTAAACACTGCACGATGTGTGGTACACCGAAGGATTATGTATCTGTGGGGATTGGAAGCGACATCATTGGTCAGGATTCTTATGGTTTGCTTTATTTACGTTATATGTAGTGTAACTTATAAGTTATATGTAGTGGTACTTCCCAAACTCAAACTTTATTCAGTTCACCTAGTTTTACACATATTTCATTCTAAAATGATTTCATTTTTTATTTTTTTACGTAAGCTATGATATCAAATAGAATTAGGAAAACTGAATACTTGTGTAAAAAATACTTTTGCTCACTCATGTGAGATAGTTGGAAGTTTCTTTTTTTTTTTTTTTTTTTGAGGAGAAAGCGATATTGCAGCATGTCGTTCCTTAATCAGGAAAGAAACTGATAACCTACCAGAATATGCGGAAAAAACTACAAAAGGTTCTTAATTCAAGATTCTTTTTTTTCCTTTTCTAGCATAAGCACTTTTACACAATCCAGTTTTTGTGAAAGTATTACTGTAGGATAATGAATCCTCCCATATATTTTATGTGCATAATTTTCCGACCATATGTCATGAGTGCTTTACCCATAACAATTCATTCTATCAAGTTTGCCGAGAAAATAAAATTCATGTTGTCCTTTGTTTAAGACCATTACAATTTCCATAACTGACAGTATTTTAGATTTTGCTGGAGTAGAGGATGATGACCATCATGGGGTTGGAAACGCAATTAATGTAAATTTAAATAAACGAATTACTTTTCTCGATATGTACCTTTGTCATCTAAATAAATCAGTAAGTTATGAAGTTTTCAGTTTTATAGTATGTCTGTTTTCTGACTGATTGCTTTTATTTCATCATTAGCATATTAGCTGAAATAACATGCAGGTTGATACGGGTTGTGCATCATTTTTGGAAACATGTGCTGAAATCCTCCGACAAAGTAGTGATGCTGAAGCTAAACTTATTCATTACATTTATCATTATGGCGAAGGCAATCGAAGAATTAATGGCTTTGAGGTTAATTTTTGATGCTCTCCAACATTTAGTCTAACGCATTCTCTGCTGTTTCTGTTGCACATGTACTGTATGGCCAAAACTGAATACGTTTATGCTATTTATCAACAGAATCACAACTACCAGGGTTCTTGATTTATCATATTCCCTGATTGTAGTCATAGAAGTACAGGTGCATATAAAGACAGAACAAAGCCATGCTTATGAAGCAATTCCTGTCGTAATGCGTTTTGACTACTTTGTCCATTAGTTGCATAAGACTTCTGTAACCAACATGTAATTGTTTTAAATGGCACTAACTGGAACTTTTGATATTCTGAGACGTATTCCTCGTGTTATTGTCCACTCTTTACTCGAAAAAAAAAAGTGATATATGAAGTTTATGAGAATTTTTCTGTGCGAATCTTTTTGCTGTATATAGACTTCTGCTTCGTTTCTTACGATACGTACTAAAATACTATTTTAGGTTTTTTTTTTTTTTTTTTAATCACTGCATTTTCAGACGATGTTGTTGAACGATATTGATGAGGAAAGTGCATTAACAGTTGTCAATCGCTCAATTATTGATATCATTCGAAGCAAGAACAGCAGGACTTTGGCAAGTGTGCCAAGATTTTTCACTGATTCCTTATCTTGCACAGTTGCAATCCCAGGACTAGGTATTCATCAGTTTCTTTTCCACCTGGTAAACAAACATTGGCTTTTATAAGTAGAACCTACCACCTACGTTTTGAGTTTTTTTTTTTTGAAAACATAGATTACCTTATATTAAGTAAATTTTTTCCCTTAACTTGTTATTCCCTTTATTATTCTGACTTTTCTTGGCAAATGTTTGCTTTGTGGTTGTGATTAAGAATGCTCTTCTTACTTTTAAAAAGAAAATTAATAATGAATTGCATTGCAATTATTACATTCTTATAATTATCGTACTATTTATTTTTTGGAGCAAGTGGTGATTGTTCTGATGAAATCCACAAGAAAATACGCGAAAGTATGTATGAAGATTATGATATGACGCGTGTCGCCAACAATAATGCCTTGTTTACTTTACCAAATGGTATTTTTTTATTAATGAAAATGTCAGTATTCTGCCTGTTGTTGATACATCACCATTACCTGTGATGCATACCAAAATATTTAGTTGGAAACAGTTATTATCGCAGCCGATAGATCGGTATCATTATTTTGGACGGTCTGGGTTAGATTCGTACTAAGCTGATTTGCCTTGAACGTGAAAGACTTTTTCCCAAAATTTTTTCAGCGATTTATGATTTGCGACCTTGGGTAGTTTCTGGTGAAAGTAACTTACGCGTCCTCATGGATCTCGACGATCGTCGTAAGATTTTGAATATTATGATTGTTTTTTACAAATAAATCTGCTACAGTAAGCATTATTCTATAATTTTTTTCAAAGTCTTGAGTTCATAATGAGAATTATTGTTTTTACTACTAGTATCTCGGAGTTAAAAAATGAAAAAGGAAAGTATTTAGGACGAAAATCTGGTACACCTTATAATGTACCTGTGGTTTCAATTTTAGAAGTTCTTGATACAGTGTGTTGTATGGATGCGCACTCTTTGTCAGGACCAACAAGCTGTCAGACTTATGCACCAGTACTGTTACGAAATCGTGGAGGAGGACATAGTCTCGTGGATGCGGTTTCACAGGTTTATCTGTATATAATTTTGTTAATGTCTAAACCAAGATATCTGTTGGAACAAACTAATAAAAGTGATGTAAAGAATTAATGAAACTTTTTAAAAGTTTATTGCTTATTTTCTTTCAGGCATTGTGGGGTGTAATTGACAAGAGCAATACGCTTCGTGATGCACTATACCACACGTTATATGCAATGGAAACCAAGTAAGTTTATTTAAATTAAATTTTACTCCTTGTTCTTTATTCCACTTTTTAATTTCATTGACTAATTCTAATTCCATCAGGAGGTACACTTACCTTTTAAACTGAAATAGAAATATGAAATAGCGCCTTCGTTCTTCCATCAAGTTTTTAGCTTTCGTGGTCGTTGGGCAGCTTCTTTAATGAAACTTGGATTAAATTTTGATATTTGGATGATGCAACGTCATTGGTCAAGCATTATTGAGTGTAGTGACCCTGGTTTTCCATTAGAGCAGGTATTTGCAATTTTTTTATATGTTTATATGTTATTATTATTATTATTACTATTAAGTATTATAGCGAAATTGAAGGAAATGTTTGCAAGACTTGGTTACACTTGTCTAAGTCAGGTGTCTATATCTGAGTAATATTTCAGATCCATGTACTCGTTCTGGCACAAGTATTGAATCGTCCAATCATTGTATTTCCTATTGAATCGTCAAAATTAAACCCATTTCCCGCTCGAGATGGACGTCCTGGTGGTTGGAAACATCCGGTTGAAGGATTTTACCCACAATTGCCTGGTTTGAACAATTACCGATTGTGCCCACCTTTGTTACTCGGCTATACTAATGGAAATTTTTATGCTCTTATATTACCTCCACGTCCTGTTGTTGGTTAGTTCCATTATATTGTTAGATTTTACTGCTCCAAGTGTAAAAAAAAAGTAATTGTACATAAAGTTAAAATCATTAATATACCCTAGTTAGTTTTTTTTTTTTTTTTTTTCAAATAAAACAGAACTACAGCGACTATCCATTGAAAAGATCCCAATAATCGGCAATGTAGTTTACGATGGACACAAAGGAAGCGATAGATTTCTTTAAGGACAAATTGTTGCTGATGTGGATCGTAACGGGCAGCAGTGGATTTATCATTCAACATTTGGCCTTATAGAAAGAATGATTTGGGTTTTCCGTTGTCCCAGGAATATTAGTTGTTCTTGGTCTGCGGGTTTGTCATCTGTATAAAGTTGAAAGGACTAAGTTGAAACTATTTAAATTTTTATGGTTTAGGAAGAGTAGATATGGGTCGTCCATCACGCATTTATCGCTACATACGCTGTCCACCTTATCCTCTTACGGAGTACGTGCAATTTGCAATGGATGCAAAAGAAGCGGAAGATTTCGTTAAGGACAACATTGTTGTTGATGTTGATTGGAACGGGCAACAATGGATTTATCATTCAACATTTGGTGCACCTCATGCAAAGAATGATATGGGCTTTCTGTTGTGGAGTAAGTCCTTATCTAAAATTCTTTAGAACTTTCAATGTTTATATATGCACTCATGGTAAATTGACTGCATTTTCGGTAGCGAAGCTCATGAAACTAAAACTGCAATTTCTTCAGAAGACTGGATTAAAGCGCATTTCCCAAAAATAATTCACGAGGATTGCGAGGTAACATTTTTTCTATTCTTGCTTGTGGGTCTATCATATTGCATTTTGGGATACTTCGATTGTTTTTTCCTAGTTTCGAATTGGGTCGAAGCGGTGAATTTTAAGAATTTCTAATGATATGCTCAGTTTTTGTTGCTATGACACAAAATGCTCGCTTCTCACTACTCAACAATGCAACATTTTTAATGCGGTTACATCAGACATTTCAATTAATTTAAAGAAGTTTAATGGCATATTTATAATGCAGAAATGATACTTTTAGGTGCAGAATGTGGTTGCAGTTCCTGAAGATAGTGCTTCAAAAGTGGGTCGGATTGGTGGTAAATCGGTTTAATAAAGTTGTCGTAGAATATTAGAATGGTTATGGTTGTACTAGTTTGTAACGATTTTGGTAGAAGTATTCCTTGACTGATGCAGTAGAAATGGGAACTTTTATTGTCGCGCATCCCAAATGGTTCGAAATACTAACTGGATTCTAAAAATCTTTTGAAGCAGTCAGTTGCAGTGTGTTATTCGTGTGGTACATGGAATGACGTTTGAATACTGATCTGTTTGCGAATAAAACCCTGCTATAACAGCTCAGTGGATATATTCTTTGGTAGGAAAGATCAGTTGCTGCTTGTTCTGTATTTGTGATTTGTAATAGGTGTTTGAGTAATGTGCTCATTTGCAAAATTGCAAATTACAGTGATTGTATGTTCAGTTTTTTTCAAATGTACTCAGTTTAGTCATTTTGAGAATTCGTTGTTTCATCCATTTTCCACTGTCTTTTGAGTGTCTATGTTTTGAACACTTACTGGGAACTACGAAATATTCAAATTTATATTGGAGGAGAGCCATTAGGTTCATTTGTGAAGGTTTAAATTCACTGTCACCGTTTATTTTCATTGATGTGTGATTATGGCGTCTTTCGATAGAATGCTGTTAGTAATTTGATCCATATAAAAATCGAGAATCTTTTCCTTGCAGATGTAATGTAAGATCTATTAAATCTATTATGAAAGGAGAAATACTGCCGACCTGGGTCGGCTTCCTTTTAGTACCTTTTTTTCAGACTGCTAGTAGTGTTGAGGCTTCCGGAATTCAGGTTTCCACAGTGGGATGAGGTCTAACAGCTTGCATTATCTGACGAATGGAGTCCATCCGTAGAATGAAATATACTATTTGCCGGAATTGCAGTAAGAAGTATTATGAATCCAGTTCAGCAGAGTAATTTTTTGACTTGGAGGCACCTAAATTGTTTATTCTGACTGCCGTAAAATTAAAATTGGGACTTTTCTGTATGGTTTTTATGTTTTCAGGCAGACTAAGACATTGGATATTTTTGTTCCAGCTTAAGGGTCAAGATAGTATATAACAAATAAAAATTGAAAGATTAAAACAAAGCTGAGCAAAACACAGAAGGCTTTTCCAAAACAACTGGAGATATGACGAAATCATGCTACTTGGAAGTCCTTACACATTTTATTTTGGCAGCCTTATTAAGATTACCAGTAAAATAGCACGGTGAGATGACAAACTTTATAAATCATGAGAACTTTTTATTGTACAGTATTCTTTACTAAGAGTGTATTATAAATGAAAACCCTGAAAAAAAAAAGTATCATTTGTCTACTACTCTGTGCTTTATCTTTCCTCAGAGAAAAATTTGCAAATCCACTTTTGAAATCTAGACGTGAAACCAAATGAAGCTACGCTAAGTATGCCGTCTAAGTCATCGTGACATCTTGTATTATTCGATCAAATAGAAACGCGTCACATCCCACTTGTTATTGATATGAATGAAAGATCGAGAAATTTAACCACTATTATCAGTTTTTTATGAAGTAGAGTTCTTATGATTAACAATGGATCTCATTTCATGGAATGACGGACAATAGTTTGCCTTTGTTCTCCATTTATTCTATGGGTTTGAGGCTTGTGATTTAAATGTATGCAAGTAACAACCATCTGCCGAGAAAGATATCTGACTGTTCCTCGAGGAAACGTCAGCTGTTCGTTTTGCCCCAGACAGCGCAGGCAGTGCAGTATACTGTGTGCTGTTTTCCGTACTGAAAAAATTTGAATTAAAGCAATAAAATTTAGAAGCAACCAACTTTTGTTCGTGCTTTCAAAGGGTTCAATATTTTGTGATTTTAAATTTAAAACTTTGTGATTTAAAAATAATCTTATTAACCAGAAATATAGTAATCTGTAAACACTGCTAATTATTGGCAAGATGAAGAGGAGTATGAATATTCCTTATCTCAAAAGAAAGCGAAGTATTTCAGAAGATTATATAAAATATTCAAATTAAAGAAAAGAACTCCATCTACCGTTTTGCTGCTAACAATTGTATTCCAAGAGGTATAACTAGGGCATCATTTGGCTGCATCATTTGGCCGTTATTCATGATTCCTATAAGCTCTAGCGTTAACTGGAATTTCAGAAATAATTTATTTCAGAAGAACATTAGTTGATTTATGAGAGTTCCATTTTCTGAGATACAGCTATTCTGCTGGATATCAATGCTATAAATACTAAAAGAAGCTTCGTGAGCATTAGCATTTGTTCCACGGTACTGAAACTTGAAAGAGACTTGCTACTGTCAACCATATCATTCATTGGAAAAGCAGTCAGCAGCGTTAGTGACGGTGGACTCACAGATTTTTTTAATTAAAGTATATAGTATTTCCCAAAAGCATGATCAGAGTGGAAAAACGTAATGATGAAAGATTAACCTTTTAACCAAAAAGATTCTTCATGGCTATCATTGGTTCGTAAAGCTTTTTGTACTGGCTCCTGAATATCACTAGCTTCTGAGATGACATTTTCATATATTTTTCCATTAGTCCACGGTGTGTCTGAATAAATAAAATTTTGGAGATGGCTTTCACAATGAAATAAGATAAAAATCAAATCTTGTACAGTTATCCGTCGTCATCCATTAGCATCAAGATCAATCAAACCAAATATATGCTGAAATATTTCGACAAAGTTTCTGAACCTTTGAATGAAGTAAGAGTATTTTTCTCCTCCAAAAAGTTATCCTCTTCACCATACAAGTTGGGCATGATGCCGTAATCTTTACTGAATGAGAAATTTTTCAAAGATACAACAGAGCGTGGTTGGTCTTCACTAGACTGAAAAACAAATCTCTTCCATTCTTTTTGATTGAAAACGGATGCGTAATTGATTTATATGCAGATATCTCACATATTATAGACAAAGCTTTTCGCGTATAATTTCACTAAGAACAATTTCTTTATTCAATTTTTTCATCTCCAACATGCTGTTACCCAATCGAATTATTATCCCTTTATTGTTCAAAATGTGCCTAGAAGTTTTTTTTCTGGTCAACAAAAGAAAATCCGGTCAAAATTCTTATTGTTAACCTTCATCTTCAGGAGAGTAAATTCATTCACATCACTCATGGCCGACATTGCTACTGCTGCCTTGCAGTAAAGATGTGATTTTTGAACTCGTTGTTCATTGAATATTCTATGAGATGCATCCATGAATTTATCACGAGCATCTTGAAATAAAAACAGACTACCTTTATTGAAAAACAGAAGTTTTAAATAATAATAGAGCCACCCAGGAAGGAGAAAACATTTCCCCCTCCATTTCAAGACATTTCAGAATCAGAAACATATGATTGGTTATATCAATCTGTTAAAGCGAAATTACGTAAAAGGCAACTTACCTCTACTAATTTTTCTTGTATATCGCTGCTTAAGACTGTATAACAGTAAGCCAAAAACAATGAAAACGACTGATGAAAGAAATGAGGTAATGAGGAAAAGGATGATGCTTTGAGTATTCCAACTTGACGTCACATATGAGAAAGGGTGGTTAAACAGTGTCAGAAGACTTGCGGAACTGTTGGCCGTCAAATTTTGTGACCTTCTATCTGTATAGATGACAACAAAGTACAAGAATTACGGAAATAAATTAAAATCATAGAAAATTAAATATTTTTTACAAAGTCAGGATAAAAAATTCGTTACACTGGATAAAAGTGCAACCTAAAGTCCGTGCCACAGATGGTTCGCTTCTTTGGCTCGTCTTGTCAGCAAATTCAACTTCAACAATGGCTCGATATTCCGTAGAAGGTAATAAATTACTTAAATTAGTCATCGAAAATGAACTGTTCAATCGTATCTGAAAAAGTGATGTGTTTCATGATTCCGAACTATTTCAAGTTTTTGAGACGTTGTCTAATCTAATGTGAAATTACCGTATGGGTATAGTTTTTATCAGAAACAGTAGCATATGAAACGAGAAAAGTTTCGGGAGATTTTATGTAGTTTGAAGCAGTGTAATTCCAACGCAGCTGAAGAACAGTATCCGAAACTGGAGAAAAGAAGGTAATATTAATTTGTGCATTGATTTCGTTACTTTTGGGCACCTGCTCAATCTTCAGCCAATTCGTAGGCTGAGTTGGTATAATACTCTGATCCAGCATTTTCGCTAAAACCCGAAATTGGTACCTGAAGTATGAATATTCAGAACTGATGCTAAAACTTTGTGAGATATTTGAAATTCTGCAAACCATCAAAATACTGCTTATTTAAGGGATTCTTTTTTATTAGATATAGATAGCATGACTATCTGACAAAAACCGGAAACCAAAAGCGAAGTTTTACTTGAAAATTTTTAAGGCCTCGTTATTCCATAATTTTAATCTTCAAAATTTCCAATGTTTTTTCTTTCATATTTGAGACCACTGTCCATATCGGTGGTCAGTGAAGGAATTTACACTTAGTTGTAGTCTTCTGTACTTGAAAGAAGTAAAATAATCCAACCTATTTCCAGGAAGCAATGCTTTGATGGTAACAGCGCGTACATGCCCGTCTACCAGTTCACCCATGATCCATTTTTTATTACTTTCAGCTCGAAATTCAATTTGAAATGAAGTAATTTTGTTTAGAAATGCATAATTCTTGGGTAGTGACCAAAGCACTTGCACATTTCTTCCGGAAATGAATGCTCGTGGCACATCCATTAAAGGTTCCCTCAATCCACTCGTTCTTGACTGCAGTCTCTCAAAAACTTGCGGTTTAATTTTTCATTTGAAACTAAGGGAATCAAAACAAATTCATTTGAAAATCAAGAAGTCCCAATCAAAAAGACAGAAATAAAAAGAGTATGAACAGAAACTGTAGGTTACTATCACTACTGCATGACAAATGAATGCACAAAAAATTGCTTGCTGTTCATGTGCATTGTCATGTAAACTTCAAAGTACAAGCATTTTAAGTATCAATGGATTTTTATATTAAATTGGTTTGCTGATTATTTAAATATTTTAAGCCATAATTTAACAAAATGAACCACTTTTTCTTGATACTGCGTAGCAGCGTTCTTAGATATGATGTTCTTTATATCTTGATTTTTCATCCCACTGTCTTTCTCATTTTGTAAAAACACTTCCTTCGCTGAAAATTTTTCTTTTTATAGTTCTTAGAATTTCAGTAGGTTTTACAAATCTAAAGGAATAAAGATCTAAAAAGATTTCGACTAAATAGTTAATTTAAATAATGATTACGAATGATTTTCAAATAGGAACTGGAACGTGTCACATGATTTGTGTTATCAGTCACTTCACAAGTGTACCACCCTTCATCTTCCAGTTGTACATCGGAAATTTGCAAACTGGCTGTCCCAACCAATCGGATACGTTTTTTTCCAATTAATGCCATACGTTTACCATCTGAATTTAGTAAAATTGAAAAAATGTAGGTTGGGGAGATTTTAAAAGCAAAGCACATTTGAATTTGAAGCATTGATATATAAAAGCACTTAATTTCAACTATTATAAATACTTGGAATTCACAAAACCTTTGGTCCAAATGGTCTTCGTCGTTCGTGGCACCACCAAACAAACCATCTGCGCTGTTTCACCAACTATCTTGGTAGAATTTTCTGGTCCTTGTAAAATTAAATTAACCTGCTGACTGATTCGATTATCAACATATAAATTCATCGCTCGACCGCGTTCCAAGCCATTTCCGTATACCTCTGCCTCATCCATTGCTGGACGTGAAATACACTGTAATATGATGGCTGGGTCGTTTTACTGTTGATAACAAAAAAGTATGAACGTACCTGTACACTGCCTGACAATGCAACACTAGAAGTTAATGTTGCATTTATCGGATTCGTAAAAAAATTAGTATGTGGTGGAACACCGAGCTTAACCATTGCATCAATCAGTGCCAGTCCATTCATATACACCATAGGAATCTCATAATGCAAATTTAATGCCAAACAGCTCAGCTGAAATTGAAAAATCTTTGACCAAGTAGTTTTGGCTCAAAATTATGAATATTGAAAAATAGCTTATGATTACTATACCTAAAGCAATGATTAATCCCAAAAAAAAACCAAATCCAATTGAAATATGAACAATGGATCTAAAGCAGAATAACCAATCCAGAATCATTTTACGTTAAGAACTTTCTTGAAACTATATTAAATTCCAGAAAGACGATTGGTAAAGGAGAACGTTTGAAAACGATAAAATTCCAGAGAGAAATCTTGTTCACCTTCCAACTCTTATCTGTAGCAAGTTGTCCCAACATAAGCTGTACATCAGTTGGTGCATGTACTCGTAAATTGTAGTAAACTTTAGGAAATTTAACCGTAGGAGGAGAAAACAGCGCCATACTTTCGCAAATATAAATACCAGTGTCTGCTTCATTCACTTGCTGAATTTGTAAATTGCCCCAAATTTGACGCAATCGTGCTTTTTCGCTACTTACTGATATTGCTGTTTCTCCCGGATATAGCTGTAGATTGATTCAAAAAATACTAAACATAAAACTTTGCAGTCGCGATAAGTCTTTTTTATCTAGGTTTCGTGTTCCACAAGGAACCCATCATCCCTCAGTATCACTCTTTTTTTTCCGTTAAAGTTACTCATTTTCAATACGAAGAGTGTAGAAGAGGTTACTCTTGTCCAAATAATCTTTGTAGATGTAACGATGCACTCCAGAAGCGCTGTTTGTCCTTTGACAACATCAACAACTATGGGTCCGTTAATTGAGGATGATGTTACAGGATAAACAAGCGCAGGTTCAATACTACTGTACCTTTTTGTCAGTACCTGCATAATGAAAAATAAGATTATAATGAAAAAGAAATAAAAATAAAAAAGATAATGAAAAACAAGATTAGTAATTAAAAACTTAATTCCATACATGCACACATATCAAATTCAAACATACAACTATATACACTACTTCAAGTTTATTGAAAAGATGATCTTTCTGAACACCACTCTTCCTATTCCTTTATTATAACACACATTATCGAACCAAAACGACTCACAGCATACACCGAATAAAACATCAACAGCTTGGGAATACAAGTACGTAACAGTTAGAAAATTTCTAAGAAAAAATAAAAAGTTGTAAAACTCACCTCTAATTTAACAAAATGTGGTGATTTTCGGGTTTGATTGGTAAAAGTGTTACGGACGACACAATAATAATTGCCTGAATCTGACAACTTTGACAAAGGTATTTGTATACCGGATGATGTCGAGAGATATCTTTCATCGCCTGTGGAATGAATTATATATTTATATTTTTCTTTGGTGTCGGTTTTTACAGCTTTTTTAACTCTTTTCTCACTTGATAGGTCGAAAACTTGTATCTGGATTTATAATGATTTATAAGTTTTTTTAACAGATTGAAATTTTTGCTGGGACAGACAATCTCACTAATAACGTTCAACACCAATTACAGAATTTGACGAAAAATACCAAAAAAATTAATATGTCTTCAGAGATTTAATCTTCAGAGAGAGAGAGAGCTAATCAAAAGTAAGTTCTATAAAAGAATAAGAAAAGTTTTGTTCCATTATTCACAAAACCAAAATTTCGATAACCATTTACCTGGTATTCCCAGGACTCCGTCGTAGCCTTCTTTCTCGAATGTTATCTCCGGAGGGCCAGGAACCACATCAGGCATTCCAGAGCATGGTAAACGAGCAATCTGTCCTTGAAGTACAGCTACACTCTGAACAAAACGTTTGTTTCAATTACCAACTTGTCTCTAATTATTAATAAAGTGATAATTACCTTCAATTACTAGTGAAATAACAATAAGAATCTAATGGAAGTTTAAAATAATAAAACCTCTGGTGCAACTTTTTCAAATTTGGTAATCCTGGCACGACGAAATTTTACTGGTGCGGACACAAGATGTGTATCAACATGCTTCCCATTAGACAATCGCACACCCCGTATTAAAGCCGAACACTGATAATCCCCTTCGGTATGATGCTTTCCATTTTGTATTTTCAAGCTACAAGTTGAAGTCGATTTCAGAATAATCCATAAATACTGTAACGTCAGCCAAAGAACTTGCTTCATAATGTCCTTAAACTTGTTACAATGTTATTCTATCAAGTTCTAAGACTGACTTCACTCAACTTAAGCATCCGATTCCAATCAGAAACGAAAAAATTACGTAGGTCCATCGACAAGCAATTCGTTGCGCATATTTTCATTTTCGAGTTCGCCGATAGGTACACCGTCCTTGATCCAGTGTACATCGGCCATTGTTGCCCCACGCCAACCTGGTTCTATCTGACATGACATAACAACAACTTTACTTTTAACCAAATAGTACTGATCTGCATGAAGTATTAGTCGTGGTAATTTGAAGATTCCTAAATTGTAAACGTGATCGCTCTCAAATGAATTTATAACATATTTTTACCAATTAAATTTGTGTTTATCACTAATCCATATAGATATCATTTTAGGTTAAGCTGCACATTCCCATAATCCTTGTTAGAGACAATCAAAAGAGTATTTAGTTTTTAATATAGTTTCAAATGGCCTCAAACTATATCATTTTTACCAAATATGCGAATCTGAACTTTAGTTTCAGTTTGAATTCAATTTGGATTTACTATTTTTTACACTTCAAAGCCGTAAACTTCAGGAAATGTCTATATAACAAAATTTACAGAATCAAACTTACTATTTTCCGGAAAAGCAAGAAACATCTGGTTTATAAGTAGCAGAATAACTGAGCAATATTTGTACATCAGACAGTACATTAATTCAAATTAAAATACTAAAGGCACGGGGTGCAATAGAGATAAAAAGGACTGGAATTTATGGACAGTATAATTTGTTGCTTGGTTTCGTTACTTCTTGTTGCGTGATAAATGAATTCATATTTGTCTATTTCCAATTCTTACTGCAATTTTAATAATAAGTCTTATATCATCTTTCCATCGTATGTCAAACTTTCTACATTACAGCGCACTGAAAAAACGATTATTCTGTGTCTATTTATTACACAGAAGAGGAGCGAACCGATTCGACGATGAAAGGCGGATGAACTTCTGCATTTCGGCTTTTCTGTTGCCATACCATTCATAAACTAACCAACTTACTGATCTAGTCAATGAGATCGATAACTAAGTGTAATGAAATTCAAAATTTAACAGCTAAATAAGAATCCGGCAAACTGCTAATTCCACTAGCAAGAAAAAGAATATTTCTAAAAAATATCAGGAATGGACAAAAAAGAAAGGAACAGTAGAATGGAGCACAGTCATTCTCAATGCGCACAGTTCAACGAATGTGAAATTCCAGCAGAAACATCCAGAAAAAGTGTAGCGTTTATAAAATGTGCTCATGAGCATAGCCAGCAACTTTAATCAATGAAATTAGCATTTCCACACAAGATAAACAATTTAACATAAATCAAAGGAACCGCTGGTAGTCTGTGTATCTGTTTAACAAACTTTTCCGACTGCTGAAAACGCGAAATGCAAAAGGAAGCTAAAGAAGAACTTCTACAGCCGGCGAAATGATAAAGCATCATGATGTAGAGATCCATAGTAACATAAATTAATGTAGTCTGATATCTTCCACTTAGTTGCAAATATAAATTACAAATGTAGTTTGAATAAACAGAAAGAAAAACACTTTCCCAATTATGGAAACTGAAATTCCTTCCAATTTCATCAGAACACACGCATTTTAGGAAAGAAGGAAAAATGGCATTCACCAAATGCATGAAGTGAAAAAAATTCAGGTGGCTGTAAAAGATTATACTCCTTTTTATCTATTTCAAGACCATTTATCACATTATCTTAATATCACATTTCATTTAGCGTTTATTCATCAACGTTTTCTCAACATAAACTGTGACACAATGAATTTCAAAAGGTCAATATTTTTTAAATAATGAAATATAATAAATATAAATAATGAAACAAACTGCTTCTTCCATGAAAATCTAGACTCATTTTACTAAGGAACAAGTGATAACATGAACATGCGAACAATTTCCATCCTATTCGCAGGGCGTTGTAAACATGTAATCCGAAGTTCAAATCAACCTGGAAATTATTTCTCAATGAAAAGGTAGAGTGAAGAAGGATGTGAAAAGTAATGAAATTACAACTATGAAGCAACACTAAAAAAAATTCATTTGTAGCATAGATAATCTTAATAAAAGAAATCGAAGATTAGAGGCTAAAGTTGAACAGCCAATAAATTTTGAACAACTAGAGCAATTATTTTAAACCGACTAAAAATTCCAGGGAATGTCGAAAAAGTTGTGGATTTGCAATCAATGTTTCATTACTACTTCATTTCAAAGAAAAAGAAAAATGAAAATTAAGAATTCTCAAACGATCAATATGCGAACTCGAAGAAGAAAAAACCAGATGTGATAAAAATATCTAGCAACTGAATGGGGGGGAAGGCTTTGAAGATTCAAACAAAAAAGGAAAACATTCCATGCCTGACAAAAAAATGTCCAAATTGCTAATAAATAACCTTTCCTCCTTCCCTTAACCTTCACTTCCTTTCTTGACTATGCAGACAAAACAGAATAAACGGTCCCAATAAAAGGTAAGTAATGCTTGAAACCAATATTTTAAAAAAAGAGTAGAAAGACTGACGTTGTTGGTAAAGGATGTAATCCTTTCACCAATGTAGACATCATCCCTTGCTAATTGTTGACACCTAAGCAAATTGCACTATTATTCGTGGGTTGCTACACATATCCATTGCTACCATTTCACTAAGACAAATATTATATATTATATGAAGAATCCAAAAGATTTACTATGCAAAGACGAGACGAGAATTTAGGATAACACTATCTCGATTGTTCTTTTGCAATATAGTACAGAAATTAAGAAGAGTAATAGCGAAAAAATTCAAGCATGACTGTTTGTCTCAAAATGCATTACAAATTTATAGACAGTAAAATTCTGAATATCAGGCTATGAAAATGTTAAGATATCGCTAGCTACACCTTTTGAAAAGTAAATTCGACCACTTGTTTTGGGAAAAGTTCAACAAGCAATTTTTAAGTACTCGAAGCACTAAATCGCCATTTTTTAATTGCATGCTTTTACATTCAGCGAAATGACCGCATGTGTAGTCTTGATGAGTTTCATGCACAAAGATACGACTTATCAGATAGCTCAAATTTGAACTGCACGGTTTTTATGCTGATAACTTATACGTTAGCTACATAGCTCTCTATCAACTTCATAATCAGTATTTTATAACTCGAACACGCAAGAATACACACGAAAATATCAGATTAACATGTTAGAAAATCTTAAAAACATGAAATTTTCAAAGTATTTCGAAGTTGTTAGAAATATATCAGTTGCAAATCTTTCAGGTAATGCGTTATTTTTCTGAGGACAAACTCAAGATCAGTAAAAAGGTGAAATGCTATTCCATGGTTTGAGATTAGATCTTCTACTGTAATATAAAGCTACATCAATTCTTTTTTCCTTCCTCATGACGTTCAACGATGTATATGTATCGAAATCATAGTTAACCATATAAGAAAATTCGAATTCTTTAAATAAGCATTTTTTTGAAATTTCTAACACAAAAATTTGGGGGGAATCAAAATAATCGGCAAAGTGTGGATTTCTTGAAAATCTAAATATTTTGATTTCAATTCTTGGCAATTTTTTAAATCGTTTCGAAGCATTTGCCCGTTGGTCTAACAAAAACAGTAAATTAGAGACAAAAAACAAGAAATAACTATGTGACTTGGCGATAACTAACACTTAATTTGTAACGCATTAATCCGATGTAATTGTTCTTTTTTTTTTTTTTTTTTTAACAGAGATACTCGCTTAATTCTAATAAAAGACTGTTTTCAAAATATTTTTAGGAAAAAAGATATGAGGAACGGAAAATGGACAAACGGTGGAAAGTAGATTAGAGTATCCAAACAACTTAAAGTGCATGCAATGATGGTTGTGAAAAGAAAAAGAAATTTGATTCCTAGCAAAGATATCCATGATTTTTAGTTATCCTCGATTTTCAAATTTCGAACCACAGGAAATAATTTGCTCAGAAGGAAAGAAGCCTTTCGGAAATATTCTGGATTATAAACTTGAAGTTCTCAACCATCTAACATTACGAATATTTTGTATGAAAACACTTAAAAAAAAGTGCAAGCTATCCAACTGCTCTTTATATTTCTATGATTTATATTGAAAGATAAATTCCAGTGAGGAAAGAACAAATTTCCTGTGGAGAAACAAGAAAGAGGTGAGTAAACATCAAACCGAGCTTTGCTTCAGAATAAAGTCCTGAAAAAAGGACTAATGCAAAATCTATTATATATCTACATACCGCAAAAATCCAGATAACTTCATTTGCGGAATGTTAGTAATTCAGTAAACTTGACATCACCTAAACAAGATCACTTATTTAATCTTTAGCTGCATTAAGACCATAGCGAAGGATTTGATAAAAGCACGGCGCGATCTACCAGGAGAAAACTGAAGTTTCTTCGGAATAATTAAGAAAGATTACATGGAAAGAATTTAGAACGCAATTTTCAAGCATTTTCAACATCGACGTTGATCCACATATACCACCATCTATTTATAAATAGAAAAAAACAATTAAATATATTTTGTAAATAACGTACTTCTTTATTTTGCTACTTTTTTATTCCATCATGACTCCCTCTTTTACCATTCTTCCACCTTACTTCGTATTGTCTGAGCTATTTTTAGACTTAGTGCAATTTTTGTGACTATCTAAAAAGTTGTAATAAAGAATATAGGAAAAAACCTAGAAAATGCAACTGATTAACTCACAAGCGAAATTTTAATATAATATATCGAACTCCAGTTTACAAGCATCTAATAACATGCTTAGCAATTTCATGCTATTTGTATACTTTATATTTAATTTTTACTCAATCGATTTACTCAGTAGTATTCAATCGCAGCACTATTAAAAATAAAATTGTTCACTTAAAGTAAGTTCAATTAACTGCATAGTCTAATCCACTGTTATTAAAACGACTTCTGAACCATACGTACAATGGATGCAGTTAAACAGAATTTTCTTGGATAATCCATAATTTTCAGTCTTCATCACAATGTGAAGGAGTAAAGACTCGACTGATTCACTCTCCAGTCGTCGAAGCGATAACAACTTTCAAAATTTGATTATCACAAATCAACATTTTTTCCCTTGCAAGAACTATTGGAATCAAAGATGAAAATCAACTTCCCGTCGTATCTGAAGTTTTTAAAAACTTCTTTCAAGATACTTGACAGCACTTGTAGGAAAGAAAA